CTAGTTAAGATTCAATCTACATGATACGCCGAACAAAACTTGAAAAAATGAAAGTCGACTTTTATTTCAAATGCCTGTCTGATTGTCCACTGTGTGTCTATATGTTAATTTCATTCTATTTCATTCAATTTAATCAGGAACAACGAAAAGAACGAGCACGAGAAATGAAAGAAGGAGATATGGATGAAGTTCGTCTAGAAAAGCATATGAATCAAGTGGAAAAAGAACAATTTGAAGATTATGCGAATAGAGTCATTAATTATATGGACGAAAATGGAAGAAATACCTATCCAATGAAAAAAGTAAGTTCTGCGTATTTATTTTTCAGTTCAGATTTTATAAATCTTTCTGAGTTTCTCTCATCCTCCATTGTGTAGCAATAACTACTGATTTCTCTATTCAGGTTCTTAATGAAGAATTAAAGAAGTATGATCAGTTAAATCAAGGATATTCTAGTGTTGGTAACGGCAACAATAATAGCAAACCTGGTCAATCACAGCAACAGATGAACCGAAATATAACAGACACGAAGAAAAATTTAGGTTTTGGTTGGGAAGTTCCAAAATGATAATAAAGTCGAATTTTGTTCTCAAATTCTCACACTTCAAATTGAGATAAATTCATTTTTTCTAGTTTGTATTGTACACAATAATATATCTGAAATTCCAATGTAAACCAAATTAATGTAACTTCTCGGCAGACTACTTTTGTTTAAAAATGACTATTTGTTCTTTGTTCTTCTTTTCATAATTTTTATTAAAAAAATAACAAATATTTTTCTCTTAATAAATTATATTCAAACTCTCCTTCTATTAAATGATTCTAGTATTTCAGTATACCGTCTTTATTGCAATGAATCAGTGGTAAATTATTTTTATCTGATATAGGCATTTAAATATCACTCGGATGTCGTCGTCACTATTGGTAAACTTTCCATCAATCGACAAAAAAATAGTTTTCAAAAAGTGAACGGAGAGGATCACGACGAAAATTTTGAGTAAGATATTTTTTATTCAAAACTTATTCTTTTATATATGGTTTTATACAACTTGATATATTGATTCCGAATATATTATTTGTTTTGATTGAAAATACTTCGCAAATGAATAATGATGCCATGATAAAATCTTGAGGTTTAGAAGAACGATATTTTATTTGAGGGAAAAATGTATTGTGAGTCAGCCAGACATAGAAGAATGCATCCGCAAAGTTTAAAGTAGGTGAGAATATTTGACAACGATGCGTAGTATCATTTGTGAAATTTAACATCCCGTGGATGAACATGGCAAAATCTCATTTTCGATTTTTCGCTTAATCTCATTGTTGACTGTGCCGTAAGAAGCCGACCGTAATTATGAAAGAAAATAAGATCCATTTTTACATTTAGCAGCAAACAAAAGAACTCTCTACGAGAGTTTTTCTTTATGCGATTGATAGTTTCAGTTCTGAATACACGAATTTCTTTCCAAAATCCCAATCATTCTAATCATCACACCAAAATATTATATTTTTATTCAGAAAAGTAGAAAATACGCTTTGACTAATGAATGGGAATGAACTTCATTCGAAGAATGGATTAATTCACAATGAAATGAGTAATTATTTGGATAGTTCAGTTCTACTAATGGTTTCATTACGGTACGAACAAATTCCTTCGATATTCTTCATCGAAAATTATAGATGGATTAATTATTAAAAGTCTTTCAAATAATCATAAATTTGGCTTTTGTCTACTATATCGCGAACAATCTGTCCGACTATCGCACTCCTTTCCTATTCGTAACCATTAATATCAATTTTTTCCACAAGATACAATTGTATATTCAGAGGACATAAATAAGAATAATATCTACAATATTTGAATATTGTAACACGTCTTCTTACAAGATGTTATCGCGTCGTCATTTTTGTTTGGCGTTTTAGAAACTCAAATGATTGAACTATGTGACAATTGTAGGTTATGGTTTTTTCGCATGAGATGCCAGAGTAAGATGATGGAGACATCAGCACTCACTTTAGCAGATAGTCATAGCGTTTATAGTGTCTGATGAAAATCGTGACGATATCGAATTTCAGCGGCGTCCAGAGCAAGTATAAGTTCAGAAATGTGAATCTTCAGTTTGAATGCCAATTTCAATTTTATTAAACTATTAAATGATTGATAAATTAGTCATAGTATCAAGAAACTAAAGTTTGATTCAAACGCTTAGCTTCGCTTTCTATATTAGGTTTCAATAAATTGAATTGCTTTTAATATTTTTGATCGCGTGAATACCGTCATATTCTCACTTCAACCCGTTTATACCCAAATTTTTCTGAGAGTTGAGGAACTTTCATTATGGCTTCCATGAAGTACATGGGGTTAAGGATATCGAATTTTATGGACTCCCACCTGCAAATGCACTTTTCACATGAAAATAAAATATTCACTGAAACAGTCTAAAACAGCTAAATTTCTTTAGTAATTTTTCCAAAAAGAAGTACGCTAATATACAGGATAGTATAGGGATATGTTTTATATAGTGCTGGGTCAACATCATTTATAAAGGTTACTGTTGAGTGACTGACTGTAGATCTCCGAAGTAACGAGTGTTTAAACGCGATCAGTTTGTACAAACGGATTAAGCATACAAATAGTAAAAATTTAGTTTATAGACATCGAAAAGCAATACAATACACTTTTGTGTTTTATGGTTCTTTATGTTTCCATAGAAATGGAACGAACATGAGAAATTACTGCTTCTGTCATTAGTTAAACCACTGTAATCTTTTTTTCTAAAAAGTTTTTGAGTCGTAAATAGTTTCTGATTTGTTTTAGTAAGATCTTGATAAGACAACGTAAAAATTCAAGAAATCCCACGAAGTCAAGATCTTGATAATTGTTAAATCACCGTTTTGTTAAATTTATCACCAACTGTGGAAGTAACTAACTAATTCCGAGAGTGCCAGTTTGTAGAGCATATCCAAAATTATCTATAAAAAAAACAAGTGTTTTATCAATAAACGGATCAATGATCTGAAAATTTCCCTCACTAGTTTGAAGTACAAGATTGTTTTACGTTACTTTTAATATTAAAGTCAAGTTTTTAGTTTTAGAGTATAAATTTTCTAAATTCGGAGTAAATATTTCTAAGAACAGATTAGTACATCTCTATCAGGGTACCCTTGTTAGACGTCCTAACCCACTATGTACAACTTTTGCTAAATCCATCATAGTAAGTAATCTCTACTGTTCTATAGCGTGTTTGTTCTTCATTTTGTTTATGACTGTTTTTAACATTGAGCTATATCTATTTTTAATTGTGCAATACTACTTCAAATAATAAATATTAATTGAGCGTTCACATAGATATTGTTGCTCTTAAGATTATGACGATCATTGAAAACGTCAGCGTTTCGACTATTTTAATACACATGCCGCAAACTCATATGATTAATGATTCAATCGTGTACAAACCATTAACATAATTTAGACGATCATCAATCAACTTTGAATTATTTGAGTTTGAAAAAGAAACATACAGATACACATCGTTATAAGAATAATAACGTTTCAAGAGATAATTTGAACATGGCAATGTTGACATGTAAATGGTAAACACATCTCGTGTGAGTATGAAATTTTTAGCAAGTTCGTATAAAACGGATGTTTTCAATTGAAGTAAACGTTAACAGCGCTTATCTCCTATGCTTCTGCATAAAAATATTGTTCAGTTACATGTCTATCTACTCTATTTTCAATTATCGTAGTAATAAAGAAACTTGTACGCCGCAAATCGTAATCGAAAGTTTTCTAACCTGTGGTATAGAAGTTTTATTTGAACGTACAGTAACTTGAGTATTGAACTTCCATTGAAATTGCTATTTCATTGCATAAGTGCCTTGACACATCATTTTTGTTCTGGTGTTGATTCGGCTGTTTTACATATCGAATTATTATGAAATTTATTATATACACTGTTAGTCGTTTTTCGACTCATTTATAGTCATGTTACGAATGTTTTTCATCGTGCTAAAAATCACGTACAAAAAAATTGTCGGTTAACACCTCACATTTACATGTTTTCGTCATCAAACAAAAAATTATTTTTTTGCATATAAAATTAAAGATATTTAATATCAATCTTATTCTCTTTTCACACTTTTACATTCATCGACCAACGGCAAATCTGTTGATTGATTCAGATCCAAAGAAGAAAACAATGCCAATCACCGAGGCAGCTTAGCTTCATGTTCAGTGGTTTGCTAAGCAAAATTCATTTATCATAGTAAAAATGGTTGATTGAGCACAATTAATAATGTTTGCTCAATAAGTCACAAATCGTCGTTCAGTTTGTTATTTATCAAGCTTAACATTCATGATGACGTAAGATGAGACGAAATAGAAAATATTCACATCGTTCTTATATCTTGTAACTATTATCGGAGACAAGTAGATCAAACATCTTGAAAGAATCCACTTTTTACATAGTGTTTCTCTACTCTGTACTATGATGTTCAATAAAAAGAAGAAAAACACTTGGTCTTTATACTGAAGAATGTTGAATGTGATATATAATCTTAAATTTGAGGATAGCACATTTTTGTCAAGTAAAAACAATGAGGTTAAGTACCATCACAAGAAAATAAGTTAATGTCGGCTAATGTTTTATATTCAAAGCCAAGTACCATCATTGAACAAAAAATGAAGGGTAAGATTATTTGAATGTGGGTTCTATCTCATCACTAAACATTGTGAAAATCGAAATGCCTTTTGCGTTTAACTTAACAAAAAACGTTTCTTCCTATTTAAAACCCAAACAAACAAACGAAAAAATTTACAAAATGTTGTTTACGCTGAGAAAAATGAACGTGTGTTTTTCCAAGCTGATTTTGCCCCGATACTCAGCTAAGACAGATTACCATTTGCATCTTATGTCTGTATGTGTTAGTATTTGTTAGTATTGAAGCTATTTGTTCGTATGTTTTTGTAACAAAAACACAACTGGCGCTACGTAATTCTCTAGAATTGTAGAGCAAACTTTTCTGAACCAAATGAGATATCTTCGGGCTTTCTTTATACAGTCTTTTATTTTAAAATACTGAAGGCACTTTTTTCAAATAAAGTCACAAAGAGGTGATTCGTATTCTCTTCGTATTTCTAACAGAACAGACTGTACAAAGCCCGAAGACATCTCATTTGGTTCAGAAAAGTTTGCTCGACAATTCTAGATATTACGCAGCATCAGTTGTATTTTGTTACAAAAAAATATAAGTAGAACAAAATGTCATTATTTCGATATTGCACTCCAACAACAGAGTTAGCTGATAGCCTTGTTTACTTTTCAGACATCGGTGTTTTCGTTTATCCTCAAATAAGAATATTTTAGAGAGACTACTCTAAAATGATCGGAAAACTGATTAATAAGTGTAGATAACTAATGGTACTAGTGAGATAAATTGCCTCTGTACTTATCTTTTCCTTATTATTGCTTAAGATCAGATATATATATATATATACTTGTAAATTTATCTTTATAATGACAATAATAAAAGAAGACATCTATCTTGTCTAAACATCATAATATAATTTAATTAAACTTTGACTCACCGTAGGAATAATCTCTCAAAATGTCGTTACACGTGTGTTCTCGTGAAATTGGCGTACTTAAACAAACGGTTATAAAAGAAAATTTTTGTTTGATGATGGTTCTCTTTTAATTATAATCAACAGCATGTTGTCGAGACAATTATCGCACTAAAAGATTACAGTATAGATGATTAAAGACAAAATTGAGCATATATAAAGATGAAATACTCAAAATCATATTTTTTAGGTTATATTCGGAGGATTTGACTTCAATTTATTTATTATAACTTTCTCACACTTCATAGTGTCATAGTGGTTAATTTTCTATAAAATAGCAATAAAGACAATAATAATTTCTTCTCGCCTGACATGCCATTGAATAAATGATCTGTATGAAACAATGAAATAACAGCACGATATATACCCAATCTCTACGAATACGTTGACGTTCGCGTGTGTATGTATTGTCGGGAAAAAACTATGTATAATTAATTGAGTGAAATAAACCGATTGACAACCTATAGTGTCCTAATCATTGATGAACCAGGTTGAGTTGATGAAAAATATTTCATATCCTGGTGTGTTTATCGAATAATGAAATGGTACGTGAACTATTTTTACAGGTATACAGTATGTTGTTCAGTCATCTATCAATAGAAAAAAACAAGCAATTAAACAAAAACAGTGAAACAATATTCCCATACATATATAACTAGCTGTCATTTTAATTATGTGTCATATCAATATACCACAACAACACTAAATGTGACCTATAGAATATTAATTTGAAAAATGATTGTTGCAAATTCACAATATCCTTGATGCCTCATGTAATATTGGAATCTTTTCAGATACATAGACGGATAGTTTTGAGTGTTCTCTCATCCAAAAGACTGGCTAATTAATGTCCATTATCGAAAATGAAAGTTCTTTTGTTCATATTTTGTCATGATTACGTAAACAATCTAGATTAACTTGTTTGTGATAAAGATAGAGTAGTTTTCTTATGTGAATTAGGTATGTTGATATTGAGATATCATGGTGCATCAAACATGTTTCCTGCATATTTTCGATGAGTCAAACAATTAGTATATTAAACGTTTGGCATCGTTTTTCTAGAAAGAGCATGTAATTACCACCTACGATGATGTTTTGATATGTTAAAATATATGTGTGCGTCTAATAGGTCAGTTGATTTATCCACATGATCATTAGCAATACACTGACCGATTTTTTTGCTGTTTGTCAGTTAAACGATACGTTAGAACGATCATGTCTGCTACTGTTTTTCTATGCATTTCTTATAAAAACAAATTAAGTGATTTTGTTTTTTTGCTCTATAATGGTAGAACAAGTGTGTGTAGTACGAGAAACAAACCTTTTAAAATATTGTCCATTCTAAAAGCCGTCAATTAATATCTTCTCTGTTGATTGAGTAGAAAAAAACCTCATAGATGACTATACGACTGAATATATACACTTACACCGTTATGACAAGACGCGAAGAAATATAAGAAAATAATCTTCTCTAGTTTGATCACAGCATGGAATACTTTATTTTCAAAACGTCTTATGTTATTATCGTATTAATGATAAGGAGATGGTCGGTTTTTGTCGACAATGAATTTTTTATTAAAAACTTCAACAAGTGACTAAGACAATGAGCTTTCTTGTAAAGCGCGAAGGGTCTTTTAGATGAAGTAACAATACAACTGTTCCTTTAACAACAAATCGTGGCCGTCTTCTACCAATCATAAGAATGGTCTCATTCCTTCTCTTAATCATCCTAGTAGCTATATCTTCGTAGTGTATGTTTTTTAGCTTGTTATTTAAAACTCACATTTTTTTTTCTTTATTTATTGACCTGGTGGTGTGAACTAGATTATATAAACTTAGTTAGAATATGAGATAAAGTTAATTTATCATGAATAATTGTGGTTTATGTCGTCTAGCTCTCGGATAAACGATTTTTTTTTCTTGAAAAATGACAGATAGAAATGAGACAAGCGCTAAATTCTATAAGTTGACACGTGCGTATCTATCAACCTATCTTTTTTCCCTACCTTATAGATAAAGCATGGCCGGTATATAGGGAAAAGAATAAATGAATAAGGAAAAGAGATTTGATTATATTCATTTAGTCTATACGCATCATTTTTAGTAACAGTTTGTGTGAAAGGCGTTCTTATTATTTACGGACAACAATATAAAGGTAAATCTTGATTTTTAATTTGAATAAAGTTGAAGAAATCTTTTGCTCTACAATGTAAGCAGAATTGAGAGTGTTTAATAAAAGAAAAAGTTTGAAAACCAAACGAGAAAGTAGTCTAAGTTAGATAAAAAATTTTATACATGAAACCAACACTGTCATCCGATATTTTTTTACTGGTATATGAACTTCACTCTTGGGAGATAAAATGCTCGTAAATAAAGAGTTTCCTATCTGACAGCTTGAACCTTTCTTGATTATACAGTTCAGTTGAAGTTACTCGTTCTAGCTAAGAATATCGGGAGTTTTTCATGCAAACTAATGCTGATATGATTGAAACTAACGTCAGATCCATTCTTTTTGACTGTCTACAGTCAATCTAACATCGCTTCGTTTTCAAACACATTTTGAAATAATAATTTTATGAACATATGTATTACCGATCTGATTAGAAAATATCAAAGGACAACGATTATGCAGTAGACTATTTACCACGTGTACGGTTAGGATGCTGTCTATTATTGCAAGTGAACATTTAACACGCTTTTTCATTTTGTGAGATTAAACTAGGTATAAAACTTCTTTTTTTCTCGTTCTGAAGTAATCTGTTTCTCAACACTCTATAACTTAAGCAACCAACACTTGATACTTCTACAAATATGATTAACCTCTGGTCATCTAATGTAAATTATCAACGATCTTTAAAAATAATATAAATGAGTTTAAATTGAATAGAATAATCGTAGTAAAAATAAAAGAAATCAAAACTGTAGTACACATACACATCTGCTACATTAAAAGATCAATATAAATACAAAACAGTGAGCCTAACCTTTTTTTCTCTCGCGGTTAAGAATCATATTGAAAATATGAATGTTACGTATTTTGCAATTAAGACATTTTTGAATAGGATTAAAATTAACATCAACAAGTTTTGAATTGTTGAATCTTTTCCGCAATTAAACGAAACTAATTCTCTACAGTCTTTGTAAATATGTACAATTTTTTGAGATTAAATTGTGACCATTCAGAATATCTCCTTCAACATAGTAAACTCGAAATATGATTTCATCAGTTTGTATATATAATTCTGAGGTCGAAAGTTTTGGTGTAAAAGTAACTAGCGGGATGAGATAAAATTTCCAGAACTTTCAAGTTCTATAAAATGAGTAAGAAAGAACGTTTCTCTTCATTTTCGCTAACACGAGTTCCTGCGCATTTAGAAAGTAATTTCACAGTATTTTTGATATATTCGCTGCTTACTATCTCCTGCCCTACTTAGCATTTTTTCATGTAGAATTTATTAGTCAGATTCCTACAATGAGTATTGACTTTTTGAAAACTTTCTGTGGAAGATACTATGAAACTGTCTTTTTAGCTCAATCATTAGATTTACAGACTTGTTGTTTCTACATGTACGAATAAAGAGTGTATATGTATGGTCAATATAATTTTTATCTTTTCAAAAATGTTATTGGTGCAGAGCCTTGCCTTTTTTTTTTTTCGTTCATCATCATACCATCAGTCTATAGGATATATATCAAACTTTTTTTCTTTTTTTTCACCGTATTATTTATGTGATTGCATCTATACGTTAACGAATATACTTGGCAGTTAACTAATTGAACCAAAAGAAATTTGATAGAGAAAAATATTTTTCTTTTCAATCTCGTTATATACGGACATTAGAGACTTATTAATTATCCAAACGACGCATGTCCATCATATCACGTTTGTTTTAACAAGTATAAAGTTAAATAAGAATTACATATACAAAGGTCAGAGAAGTAAAAGAACGTCGATCTATTTCACATATAGTTTGATATTAACAAACGATTTTCAAAAGTCAGATTTAAATTTTCTCTGAAATTGAAAAGAAAATTTTGTACATAGTTATATCTAACAAAATATACTATTTTCATTTTAGGTAATTTTAAGATCGTTTTCAAAATGGGATTAAAACCAAAGAATTTGATTCGTCGTTTATTTTATAATAAATCTCATTATCGTCATCGACATATTGTAGATACCGTAAAAATTTCAACACATGATCAATCAGTACAAACAAGTTTTGATGATACACAACTAACAACAACAGTAATCATAAACACTCGCCGTTCTAGAAAACGTTCATCTTGTGTATTATCATCCGCTACACCAAAAACACGTTGTCGTTCATCATTAAAAACATACATATCAGCTTATTCACCAAAAATAGTCCCGTTAATAAATCGTTCAATTCATCGTCGTCGTCGTAGTTATGATTTCGATCTTAAAACACCAAAATGTCTCAATTCTGAAGGCTCAGTAAGTTTTCATATTATGGTTGAGTCTTATTGTTTTGAATGTTTTATTTTTATTTTTATTTTTATAGAATGTTGCTTTAGTAAAGAAAATTCGTCCAATAACAGCTCAATGTGAATTCTATGAAAGACCACTTCCATTAGTATCAACTGAAACAAAAAAAATATATAACGAAACAACACTTGTTCCTGATAATCAAAAACTTTATCATAATTCATGGGGATTTTCGTCCGATATACATACATCTGTTGATAAACATAACAACAATAATTTGTCATTTCTTAATGCCAAAGAAGAACCAGAACAAGTGGATGAAACGATCAGTATACGAAATCAAAATGAACAGTTTTCTGTTGGAACAATTGGACCATTAAAATGGAGGTAAAGTAGACAATAATGATTTTGAATTTATTATGATTTAATATAAATACTAGTATATTCATCCAAAGATCTATCATTCTTAATTATATTCCTTCTGTTTTATTTTAGTACTCCCATTCATGCATCATTTAAAGCTTCGAGTCCTTATAGTCAAAATCCTTATCGGCAAATGGATTTATCATTCTCAAATATATTTAATATTACATGTTTAGATTAAACAACGAAGAGATTAATTGAAATCTTTTCAAAATTAATAAAATTATATTATATCTTTTTATGATTGAAAACAGCTTTCATTCTTTTTATGGTTGAAAATATTGTTAATTCTTTTTATTTTTGTATCTTTTTTGTGTGAAACAAAAAAGAATTTGCTATGAATAAATTCTTTTTATCTTGAAACATGAATATTTACTTATAATCTGCATTTACGCTAAGTACCAAATTCAAATAAGTTATCAGTCAATCGATTCATTTTTACGTGTTTCCTATTTATGTATCGACTATTTTTTTTATTAGAACGTCAGAAATTTTCTTCATCATTGATCATGTATCAGTATACGTTGAGCTGTAAATGATCAATTAGCATATGAGTGGTGTGTATGTGTGTCAGTTTTGAGAGTCAACAAATTTTCTGATAAATGACCTTTTTGTATCTTGTTTGAATACAATGTGTTGAAGAAAAGAAGACATTTCACAGTCGGTCGAGAAGTAAGAAGATAATCACGTGCAATTTTTAAATTTGACATATGCTAGTTTGTTGTTATTTATGTGGTTAAAAAGTAGGCGTCTGTTACTTGGTTTATATTAATTCAATTTAATAGTTGAAGTCTCGATACATTGACATCAGTCTCTGCTAGACGTTTGTTACTTGAGAAATTTTGCTATTACGTTGAATTTTAATGCATTTTCCTTTTTAACCACGGTAGATTAAGGAGAGTGATAAAATTACTCTATCCAATATTATAGCACAGATAACAGACACTGTATGTTTATATTTCAGAATCCAACTCAGCAAAAAGAAAAGAATTCGAATATAGATCGAAATGTTTTTTGTTTTCTTATTAAAACATAACAACAGATCTGCAGAATGAGGACAGTTATCATATATTGATTTTATGCATGGATGCTAATTGCTCTTCATTAAGTGATATAGAGTGATATCTCAATAAATCGAGTAAGTCAAGGAACATAGACAACAAATATATTAGACTGTATCATACGTATGTGACTTTATAGTCTAATAATCATTAATATGAGATTTGTTTGATAAAGAACGTTGAGAAGATTAAAATCATTGTACACGATGACCAGAATTCATTCAGTAGCTTATGCCATCAATTTTCATTAGATCAAGGTGCCTTGTCTCGTTCTTCTACACTTATTCAAAATATATATATATAGAAGCATTGCTTTTATTACCATAGCGTTGTTTAAACATTTCATTTGTCACGCTGTACGAACTATATATGCGTGAATCTAAAGAGTTTTTTCATAGAATGACTGATTTCCTAACATCTAATAATTTTGTAACGTCTAAATATGTTTTTGTTTTTTTGTTGGTACAAAATTAAAAATCTACTTTTTAATTATAAAAATTAAAATTCACTCCGTAAGAAACAATAAGAAAAATAACAACGACAAAAAAGAATTATTGTCTTAAACTAACAGAAGCCAGACAAAATATTCATAACTTAAATTAGCTCAAATTTCATATCGAACATATAAACATTCTCTAATAGTAGTATGATACAAAAATAATTTTCCTAATATACTCGATTTCTATTATGAATAGATGCTGAGGATTTTGAGTTAGTAATTTTAGAGACAGAAAGAGACAGGTAGAACTAATCAGTTAAACTAAATCTATCCAAAAAATATACATAGTATAAATCCTTGAGTTATATTATATATATATACACGTCAAATTTGAGAATAACAGAGCATGGAAAATTGCACAATTAATTAGGCGTAAAGCCAATAACAACATCTTAGATTATTTATCATGAAGTTTAATTAATTTTATGTTGATATTGGTGAGGCCATCTTTATAGGCGTTGATAAAGGCGATGATGGAAGTGTTAGAGTGTGCGGCGGTGTATTGAAATTTGCGTCTAATGGTGAAATATTAAAATTTGTCATATATTGACGAGCATTAAATTCAGCACGAGCAATCAATTGATTTATTTCATCGCCACGATCACGTTCATCTCTAAATAAGAAATCAAAATTAAGAATTAAATTTATTTGTGAATTATAATGTAGATTACTTTCGTCCATCATGTGTGCGTTTGCGCATTTGTAACATTATGTCACGTAGATCGGCATTCTCATCTTCTAACAGTTTAATTTGTACTTGTAAAGATTCTTTTGTTGCTTTTTCGAATATAAGCTGTTTTTCAAGATCATTTAGCTATGAAGAAAAATGAAAAATATTAGATTATGAATGTATACATAAATAGACGTACAGAAAATGCTGAGTTCACTTTTGTTTTGAAATCGTTGAAACGTTGATTGTCGCTACTGACACCACCAGTTGTATCAACATTTATTACGTCCGTTCTGAAAGACGATAAGTTAGAGCATCCGAACATAAGTGTGCAGAGAGATTGTAGATTACCCATTCGCAGCGAAGTAGAAAAGTCGAATTTCTATGTAGTGTCCTCTACACACAGTCGCTAAATCTCTGATTTTCCCTTCTTATTTATTCTACAACCTTTCGAAAAAAAGCTGATAAAAAATTAAGTTACTTTTTGCTTCAATCTATTTATAATTATTAAATCATCGGCATGATCAATCAAAAAAAAGGAACATTTGTGATTACATTCAGATAAGAAAACCAAAACCATTGCTCGTGTGAATGCAACTATAGGACAACATGTCTCCTGACGATGGCAGATACGAAGATGTAAAAAAATTTCGGAAGCTCATTAATGTTAATGAATGATAATGAATTTCCTGCGAGCACCTTTCGATTGATCAAAAATGGAAAAATTATGGGCAATACAGCAAAAACGGCTTCGATAAACTTAAGCAACTTATTTTCAACAGGAAATTTTGAGTAAAATTACTAAAAATATCATCTTGTAGAGAATTTCAAGATCTATCGACTGTACGAATCGCACATTATTCAGGCTTACCATTAATTAATTAACTAGCATCTACAAAAAACGTGTATTTTTTTTAAAAAAAGTCCATTGGAATAATTATAGTCAGTCCGTGTAATTTGCAAGAGAAAATCAGAGTTTGGATTCCACCGACTTAGAGAGACAGATTTTACACCAAAACCAAGTAGAAAAGTGGTAGAAGAGATTTTTCACATGAAGTGAAAAGTAGAACAAGATCGCATACTTCTAGCGATTTGCAGCCGTCTGATAAGTTTTACCGAATTTTGGCACATTTTAGTACCTCATTTTTGGCATCCTTAGTACTCCAGTAATTAAAACAGTGTTGAAATTATTCACTGGTGACAAAATTTACCGCTCTGAATTTTGACGGCTTCCTTAAGTATCTTCGCAATATCTTCATAACTACGAGCCTTAGATGACTTTGACACATCTCATTTTGTTAAGCATACTTTCTGTCACTCTACAAGACGATAGTGAACTCCTGACGTTCTTTTATATTCGACGAATATAAGGGTGAGAAAATAGTGAAAACAGTGTTTTAAGACGAGTTACGTGGATGGCCGTTATGGGAAAAATTATTCTAAACGAAAATATTTTTCTCTGGAAAGGTTAAGATTTCTTTACTTAAAGCTATAGTTATTAAAGCTATAGCTATTTTGGAAAAAGAAATTTTGAAATAGCGCCTTTCCTTAATTTTTAAGTTGAATTTAAAACAACTCGACGAATAGATGAGCTACAACTTTTATCGAAAAAAACATTTAATGCAGCATAAAGAACTAAATAAACAAACGTAGACAGTTGATAAACTTCAAAACAGCACAATAATGAGTTTTCTAAGGCTTTTTTAAGAATCCTGTTAAAAATTTTCAGAGCAAATTGTTTTTGATTTTTCCCTTGGCTACAATAGCTAGAACAGATCTGAAAAAATGATTTTGAATAGCTGACAGAATTTCCATTTTGTGGCGTTATAAAAAATTCCATCAAAGTTTTTGAAACCAGGCTCTCTGGAAAACCAAAAGTCCTAAAAGCTAATTCTCTTTTTTTTAGTGACTCTTCTCGAGCTATTCTATATCTATTTCAACTCGGAAAATCAAATTCAGTCCGTAGACTCTTTTATTTCGCTGTGAATGTGAATTCTGCAATCTATGAGTGTGCAGATAGCAGAAATATGTGTTGGTGCATACCGTCTTACAGTAATATTTTCTAAAATTTGATTACGTTTTATTCTTTCTAATTCGTCTTCAAGTGCACGATTTCTTCATGAATATAAAAAAGGTGAACACGTGTGTCATATTTCTTAGAGACCAAACTATTATCCTTTCTAGAACACGGGATCAACAGAAACTTTTCTAATTACTTCTGAACGAAGATAGATAGAACACTGCGGTTTTCGCCATTTGAGAGACGAAACCGAGAAACGGCTTTAAGGAAGAAAAACAAATTTAAAAAATCTGCTAAACGTTAAAGTCTTGCTTTACTCACATTTTGAATGGCATACTCTAGTTTATCTAGCCATGAAATGAAAATATTCTTAGTTGAAGTTTTGAAAGTATGACCTGCTTTTCCACAGATCTCATCTCTTAAATAGCGAAAACCGCAACTCTCTATCTATCTTCATTCAGAAGCTACTAGAAATGTTTGTGTTGATCCCGTGTTCTGAAAAGGATTATACACTTACTTTTCGTGAAAAAACAGAAAAGATCTCGGAAAAATACGCATTAATAATATCTGCAGAAAAGGTCCCGGAAGTAAGAGACTATGCACGGATCTTGAGTGCAAAATCTTTGCATAACCTTTTTATTCACATTATAGAGAAAACAGCGATACGACACCAGAAAAAAAAGATCAAGACGTATTTTCTAATCTTGTTGTAAAGCTAATTTACTTTCTCTTTTCCGATCAATTGTGGAAGAGACTTCATTCCCTATGTCACCGATTCCATGTGTACATGAATATGCGTTTAGCCCTCGTTTATATTTGCAGAACCCACAACAAGATAGCAAAATTCTTGAGCAGATTAATAATCATCTTACTGCTGCATAAAATAACTTCTTCCTATGTTTTACGTGGCACTTTTTTAGTTTAAGGCAGTCAAATTGAATTCACCGTGAACTGCGTACACCACATAAACGTCAAAACAAGTGCATACAGTACAAGGTCACTAGGTCCTAATGTGCATAGTCTCTTTCTTCCAGGATCTTTTCTGCAGATATTGTTAATGCAAATTTTTTCCAGAATCTTTTAAAAATCGTGTTCTTACCTTTCTATTAGTTCACTATAACGTTTATATTCGTTTGCTATTCTTTCTTCAGCAGTTTGTTTCTCTAACTGAATTTCTTTATTGTTAATTTGTGTATCTTGAATTATTCTATCTTTTTCAAATATAATTTCTTGCTTATGGGTGAGTGCATCTTTAAGACGTTTAATTTCATTCTGTAATTGTTCCGTACGTATTTGACCTTCACGTCGTTCACGATCAGTTTGTTCTCTATAACATATAATAGATATAAACTTAACCTATTAAGCAAGATTTCTAATAATTACGAACAAACGTGTTTTAATTATTTCCATTTTATCCTTATATTTTGCAGTAACAGCAGCAACGTTTTTTGACAATACTTCGGAGTGAGCATTGATCTCAGTCTAGATTAAAAAGCAAATAAATAATAGAACGATCGGATAGAATGATAAAATAGAAAAAAGCAGTACAAGAAATGATTTAGACATTGACACGTTAGGTTAGTTTGCAGTGTATCTAAATAAAATTTAGAAATAAAAAGCATCATTTACTGATAAAAAGATTGTTTTAATATCTTATAATTAATTTTACTAGTTTTCTACTGAAGTTGCACGCAATACAATTATGGACAAAAATTTATTTCATATCGTTTAATACAAAATGCTTCTGAACTATAGATTAGTTAAAAGCACACATACACACATCTTTTCAAGATTTCTAAAAAGCGACTTATCGTCGAATTATATTTTTCTGATATTCATAAATCTCATTCAGATATGACAAAGTTGTGTTCGACATATCTCTCTAGAGTGAATCCATTCCAGATATATAGGAAGTGCAACGAAAACAAATGGTTCTACTTTCGTGTTCGATTTTCCGAGAAAGACCACCGCTGAGACTAGACATTCTAACCGATCCTTTTCTCAGCGGTGGGTGCGACAGTCTTTTTTAAATTGCTTATCGTCTAGAAAAATATTGGTGATTATAAGTAAATATTTTAATGTGTATCAGGTTTCAAAAGTGTGGTGGAGACAATTTTGTTCGACTTTAATGGTAGCGGCGCGGCTAACTTATCTAATTGGGACTAAATATTTTATCATAGATCGAGCAAACAAACTGGCTAGATACTTCTCAAAAAGTTAGACACATTGAAAATTTGATCATTTTAAGTCGTCTTTCATTCTTCTTCACTTCTAAAAAATTTACATTACTTTTAACAAAAGTCTAGGCGGCTTTATTTACTGAGAAAAAAGATCCTTAAATGTTACTTCAATTTACTTTGAAAGTTAATTGATGACGGATAATGTTTTATGCTGAACATAAATCTGATATCTATTCGTCTCCATACAGTCTTTAAGAATCCTAATTCATATTCAGAATATCTAGAAACTCCTCATGAACTCTTGTTTGAACAAATTCTATTAGGATCAGGCTGTAGAGCAAGCATGTCAAGCTATCCATGTGCTCAAGTTATCGGAATTAGTAAACAAGTGTTTACTGAATTATACTAATTTCAGTTTTTTTTTATCTATCTAAAATAAGGAGCGATTGAGATATTTTTTCCAATGAAAAATTGAAGTGACATTTTTGGGACTTTTCCCTTGTGAGTGTAATGAGTATGTGAAACGCATACGTATCGGTCTTTTGCCTTAAAACAATACTTTTATAATAAAATCTAACAAAAAGGTAAAGGGTGGCTTTAAGTAAAGGTGTATACTATTAGATAGAAAGACGTTATCGTCAGTGTTTTAAAAAGAAAGCTGTTGAAATGCTCATTATACGTGAAATATATGCCTCTTGTTTCCGTGTGGTATAATAAAATATATTTTATCAGTTTAAACTAATGATTAAAAAGTTATTTTAGTTATAAAAATAATATGGAACATAGATGTATACTGCTTTGTTAGCTTGTGAATCAAAGATCCATCTCGAACTCTAAGAAATATTCAACACAAAACGGTTTATTTCGTTGATTTCTGTTAAATATCAAAAGTTTTTTAACCAAATTTTTCAATAACCTTTATGTGAAACATCTTTTGAACGTTTTCACAAAAATAGTGTAAAACTTTTATAGAACCGAATGCGCTTCTCTTTCTATATCTTCATAAGAACTTTTTTAATTTTAAATTTCAAAAAGATCTTTCACTCTTTGACAAACATAAAAGTCTTTATCTTTTGTAATATTTGTGAGATTCTAGTTATCATCGATATTTTCAATTGACACTCTGTTGTTTGTTACTGTACAGAAAACTCGATAAATTCATCCCAATGTATTATGAGTTATATCTGTGCATTTTTAGTTAGTTTTTGTGATTACAAACACTAATTAGTTATTCAGTATTGGACCTGTAACTCATCATTGATAGATATACGTTTTTTCTAAAAAATTAGAAAAATGTTCAGGTTTTTCACCATGTTACTTTCTTCATGGCATTATACAAAGTAAAGGCGAGATAATAGTGCTAGGATATTTGTAATAGAAATCATTACTTAGTGCGCTATTTTTTCGACTAAAAACTCGACTAAAAGACATATTTCTATTCAAAAGTGTTCGAAGGAGAAATGAAAGAACACGTGTGTTCGAGACTCGATCCATTGAATATGTATCGCATCGAGACATGTGTAGTTTATGTGCATAAGCATTTAACTACAACAAGAACATCAGTTTTGGTGAAAATTCATCAGCGTGCATCGAATAATAAAAGACTGCCCACACTTTATACCAGTTTTTTGCGTAGCTAAAAGAGATATGTGTTTTTTGGTATTTGAAATCGAGATCTAGATATACTTCATTGAACACGAGATTTAAAAATTAACGCATATATTTTCTCTTACCTTTTCCTTTTCTAACTGATCACAGCGTTTTAATGTTTGATCAAGAACCATTTTTACATGTTCCAAATGTAATGTAGTACCGGTGACACGTTCACAAACATCTTCATATTTCATTTTTAATGTTAGTAATTCATGTTCAAGTTGAGTCGATCTTCGTCGTTCATTTTCTAACATATCCAAATTAATACGAGGTTCATTTGGATTTGTTTCATACTACAATAGAGTAAAATATACTCGTCAGTAGAGTCAATAGAAAAAATTTTAATTGTTACTTACCAATTGTCTTTCTAGCAGAATACGTTTTTCTTTTTCTTCTTTCAATAGATTTTTCATTGTATTTAATTCAAAATTAGAATATTCTGACATTTCATTATAACGCTCGCGTAACAATATTAGTTCATTTTCCAATTGTACTGAATGTGTAGAATTCTAAATAACATAGGTTGACCATTGTCTCTCGATCGATGTTGTACAGTTTTACTTACGAGTTCGTTTGTTAAATGTTCGTTTTGTACACGCAATCTTTCCAATTCTTTGTGTAACATTAATATGTCTGCGTTGTTTGATCCACTTGAAATAAAAGAAAGATATAATTATTTATTTATTTTTGATATCATCAAGTCGCTGCTACGTACGTTCGGTTGCCATTTTGTTCAATTATTTGTTCTAAATTATTATTGTCAATTCCATTTGATTGTCTCGATCCGGCTTCTAGAAGAATAACAAATAATAGACGATACATAACTCTTCTCTTTATATTCTAGTTCAATTTTTATACCACTTAATCGTTTATTACATGAATCGATATGTGAACGTAAAACGTCACATTTTAATTTGAGTCGTTCTATTGAAAACTGGACATTTTCATCAGCATTTTCAAATCTCCTTTCCAATTCTGTTATTTTCTTTTCAGTTGCATGAAGTTCATGTTTAACACGAGAAATTTCCCTTTCGAGTGCTTGCTGTTCGATGACAGTGAATAACTGAGATACATTCACAGTTCTCTGAGATTTGTCCACCTAAATTTTTTTAAAGAAAATTTCATTTTTCAACGATATATAACACGAGACTTGGTCATGTTAGTATAATTACTGATAAGCTTTCCTGCTACACTCAAGAAATAAACTTGTTTCGAATATATCTTAAGTGCATAGGTGGAACTAATATAGTGGTGCACTGGTCACTAATTTAAACCTTGATATCGGACTAAATCGATTGATTAAACGACGTCAAAAATCAAAAAATAATTTCACCGATTCAAGTATAAAACTCAATATTTTCTAGATCTTTCATAGGTGTAATCAAGAGCACTTTTTCATGTGCGTCTAAATAGTGTATTTTAAAACAAATGACTTTTAAAAAAAGTCTGATTTAGTAATTTTATCTATAATGTATTAGATGTTAAATCTTTATTGCCACAAATGGAAAGCAAACCAACAAATTCTTTTCACAATAACTTTTTTTTTCATATAATAAAGATAGATAATCACAATCTCGAAAACGCAAAAATAAATATATAGCATTACGATATTTTGTCATGACAACCAGAGGCGGCGGAGTGAATTAGAAACTGTGGGAAAGAATTTATTGTTGGAAAAATAAAGATAAATATCGAAATATTTTTCGACTATTTACACATAGAATCCTGTACTTTTATCTATATATACCAGCATCAAAAATGAGTACGAGTGATTAGGGACGAAGCGAAATTAAACCGTTGTTTCTCGTAGTTCATCAAATATATGCTTGTAATCAAAAAGCAGTCAAAGATAAGAAAGATATAGCGATTATATGATAAATTTAGAGAAATAAATCTTTAAATTTGTGGAGATCGCTCAGCATCTCATCCCTACTCTATCTTACATTCAAAAATCTGTTGTGAAGGCGTCGTCCCCACTGCTTCTACGATTCCGCCGTTTCTGATTACGACCTAAAATCAGTAGTAACAAATTAAATCTTTTTCTCATCTTTTGATCGTGATATAGTCGAAAAAACAGATAGTTACCAGAGGTGTGCCGGGGGAAAGTGTTCTACTTTAGTAGCATGGCAATAAGTTTTTACTGTTGACACATGACGAGCACTAAAAATATGAACGCGACGTTATTCGATGCAAAAATGTTGGCTCTACATACCTGTTCACTTAGTTTCTTCAATGGACGTTTACCCCGTGGTCCCATAGAGGCTATAGTTCTTTAAATAAACGTCCATTGAAGAAACTAAGTGAATAGGTATGCATAGCGAACATTTCTGCATCGAATAACGTCGCGTTCATATTTTTAGTGCTCGTCATGTGTCAGCAGTAAAAACTTATTGCCATGCTACTAAAGCACACTTTCCCCCGGCACACCTCTGTAGTTATTGCTATCTATTCCAGTATACAATGCACTCGATTGGGTTTTTAAGTAACTTTTGTATGAAAAGTAAGAGAGACATGCGGTTTTTTGCCAGAAGAAGCTTCGAGCAATCGTTTCTCAACAAGAAAAATTTTAAAATCTTTTCCAAAGTAGAGTTTTAAAAAAATCTCCTGGAAACTTGTTCTCAATTTTCAAAATTTTAAATAACAATATACTCGTCCTTTCACATAGGTAGATACCCCAGAGTGTCTTCTTCAAAATCAGATTCATTCGATCTTTTCATCGCTCATGATTTAAGCATAGCATTGGATTTTCTAAGAGCCTCTTGAGTATATTCTACTTCGACTCCTGATAACTTCAAAAGTTGATAGAACATAGGACATCGACCACGCTGAATCTCATGACAATGTTTATTTTTAGAAAAAAAAATTAAAAAACTAAGAACTTTACGAAAATTATCGATTTTGTCCGATTTTCATGAGATCCTGCATAACTCATAGAAATCAATTCAAATAACGTCAAAAACTCAGTAGATGCTCTTAAACAGATGGTTAATATGCTCGCGTGATTCAAAATGCAAAAATGATATTTTCGTACTTTAAAACATTTCTAGAAAGTCGTATGAAAAAAAGTATTGTATCCATGTAAATAAGAGTCTTTCAAAGCCCTCTTTTCGAAAAAAGATTTGTAAACTTTTCTTTTTCTCAGGCTTTTTGCATAAACTGGCGAAAAGCGCATGTCTCTCTTACTTTTAGTGCTAGAGTTATTCAAAATACAACCGAGTACATTGTATTGTATATTGAAATGGATAGTGGTAGATTTTCACGTTCCAATAAAACAAGACTCCATTATTATATTTTATCCAGGAATTCACTAATTTTCAGAAATTATTTTCATAAAAGTCATTGTTTTTCGACTGATTCATCTCAAAATTCTTCGTTCTTTTTTCCCAAAAATTTTAACTACAAAATCTATTCGATCAGTTATTTTTTTTTATCATTAAATCAACATATCCCATACTTGGGAAAATGCTGACTGTCTAACGTTATTTCTCATGAATATTTATCTACATAAAACAACTTACTTGTCCTGCGTTCGCCTAAAAATGTTTACAAAACAGATACATATATATGTAGAATGTACTACATATTCGTATTGGAACAGTGAGAAAATCTTTTTTTCTTAGGCAAATAAGTTGAACATACCAAATATCTTAGCAAATCATTTTCTTCTTGTTGAGTTGTTGATTTAAATTTTAACTCTTGTAATTGATATTCTGCTTGTCTGCACTGTTCAACGGCTATTTGTAAAACAGAGTTGGATGATGGTGAAGTATTATCTAATTTTTCATTTAATAATATAAAAGTACATTCTAATTTTGTACGTAATGTTTCTATATCTCGTTGTAATTCAACATTTTGTTCCATAAAGCGTTGTAATAACTCTTGATTCCCTATAACATATATATAAGTGTCATTTAAAGAATTGAAATTAAACTCAATGTACCTGATGAATAAGTTAACTCATGTCCATTATCACTGAATTCTACTGGAGGAGGACATGCTCTATCGATTATCTGTTTTAAACGTGTTATTTGTTCATTTTTTTCTTGATGTATTTTTTGTAGTTGCTCCCGAAATTCTTCTTCAAGAACTCTGTTTTGATCTTCTAATCGAGCTATCTGTTCTCGAAGATAATGTAAATCACGATCTCCAAAATAAATCATTTCACGAATACGCTTAAGAAATTTAATTATATGAAAACATTTCTAGAACAAAAGAAAAAAATACTTACTTTCATCCCACCCACAAAATCTTTGTCATCTAGATTTAAATCTTGTAATAAATAACGATAGCGGCGTAATAACGAAAGCATTGTTTGCGTTTTCAACCATAATTTCATTATCATCTCTCGTTCTTGACCTTAAAAAGTGGATACTCTGATTTAGACAGACAAACAGATCAAATAAATATCCAACCTTCATGCAAATGAAATTCACGTTCGATTGCATTTAACACATCTTGATATGACAATAAACTCTAAGAAAATAAAACGATCTCAAATATTTCAAAACAGTGAATTGGAAAGGGTGTCCTCTCAGTTCGTCCAAAATTGACTTCTCAATTCGTTCCATAAAGCTTTTTTTCTCAGTTCGTCCCAATTAATTCATCCCAGATATCTATGCTCGTGCCTCAAAATAAATAAAGTGTGGTACCATCGAATAGTTTAGACGGCAACGGTAGGTATTGTAGATAATACTAGGTGCATGGCAAAATGTACCGTGTTAGCTACTACTATCACAAATTTAAATCTAAATAAGTTAAACTGACTTGTTCATCAAAAATGTTAATTTTCATGACTATTAAAAAAGACTGACAGGGATATAACAAGCGTGTGGAAAGTAATTTTTCTGTTCATCCTCATATTTATGACTTTATTCGATTGTTACGTGATGAACATTCGTTCCAACATCATCAAGTTGAAGCATCGGAAATTCGTGCTCCAAAAAAGAAAGAAATTATATTCCGATATTGATAACAAGCTGAAAGAATTATTTCATGGCTTTGCTACTGGTCGTTATGTTTCTGTTTTCACTTTTTTTAGCTAAACCAATATAGGACGAATTGAGAGAGAAGCGTTGATGGGATTAACTGAGAAAAAAATTCTGGGACGAATTGAGAAGTCAACTTGGGGCGAACTGAGAGCAAACCAATGGAAAGAGAGTCTACAAAAGGTATATTCAATAATTTTCAAAAGAGCAAAACTGACTAGTCAGTAGCAAGATCAATCTCATACGCATTGTCGAACAAAAATGATTTAATTATATACTCATCTCGCGTATAAACAGAGAGAAATTGTTAACTTACTTTTGATGTATCATCATATTTTGCATCTCTTTTACTCCTTCGCTCAGGAGCATCGCCCCCTCCCCGATGTCGTTTTATAGCATTCATGTTATGCATTTAAATTTTGTTTCTTTTTACAACTGTAATGCTATATAACGACAAAAACTGTTAATCACTCTACTCTTATCCACTTGAATATTTGTACGGTTTCAAAATATTCCACTTATTAAAATATTACGAGTATAATGGAGAAGAGAAAAAAATATTTCGTACAGACAAAATAGTAAAGTGTAACTATAGAAAGGTTTCCTTGAAATAACGATATATTCAATTGCTGAGTATCAACATGAAAAAAAAGTTGGTAGTTGTTCTCATTGTTGAAGTTATTTCAATCAACGACAATACGCAGTATAGACTATTTTGCTATATTAAACGTTTTTTTTAATGGTAAGTAAATGACTATGGAAATCGATCTACTATACCGTGAGACTGACGGAGGAGGGCTCAACCCAAACTTCACTCGTTTCCGATGATCGTGGTGACATAAGATCATTTTGTGCTACTTGACCAATTGAACTTGTTATCAGTGGATTTTGACTTACAAGATATTGGGTAACTTTTACTTTTTGTTGATTATCCAAATGAGGTGCAAGAGGATGTTGACTAACGAGTTGATTCATGTTTTTTCTTTTAAGAAGTGTTTAACTGATCTTGATCAATTGATTTGAGTTGTATGCTAAATAAACAATTTTATCGTTTTGAATTCTTACTTTTGAGAATGTGATTTTAAAATACTTCTTATATGAGAGGATAAATAGAGTAAATTCTAAATGTCAGTTGAGGTTGTAGTGTAAACACATACCCTTCGCCCATTAATATCATTCAAACTTTGTCGCCTCGTTAATGGTGTTGTTCGTCTTATCGTAGTAGAATGTCGAACTTAAAAAGAAAATGTTTATTGATGAAAGATTAACATTAAAATATAATCATTATTCAATTAACCACAGATCGAACTTAAAAATTATAATCATTTAGTTATCAAGGATACACTAGAGAAAAGTGAGTTTTCTGTGTTGGAGAGCTTATAGAACAATGTGAATCTGAGTTCTCCGTTTGAGACAAATAGAAAACTCAAATTTTTTACAGTGAACAACTACAAGATCATACGACATATTATAGTGAATAGAGAAGGAAGTTTTACGTAACGTTGGGATGAGTTTTGAAGAGTCTGTTGTCTGAAATCTTTAGAGTCCATTCTTGTTAGACTAAAATCCAATAAAAAAGATCTATATATTTGTTGGTCATATGGAAAACTATTCACTGTTCTCGCAGAAGCCAAAAAATACTTTGAGGCGTTAGAGCTATTTTTATTATCGTATCTACCACCCCCTTCCCAACTACTTTTGGTACGAGACTTTTAACGCTGATTCAGACAAAAACAGTAATGGAGACCAAGTCCTTCTTGATACACTTTCTGTGTTTCAGTTAATTTCCGCATTCTCTACCTATACCACACGCCACAAATCTCTCCTTGGTAATATTTGTTATCCCTTCGACTGGGACACTCCAATAATTTCAAACTGTCTGACATTAGTAGGAACTCCCCATTTTGTCCTCAAAGCAGCATTTCGAGGTATTCGAAGTCATTCCGCTTAGTGAAAGTCTTTCTAATGAAAGTTTTTTTAACGAAACTCCGATACCTCAAATTGAGTCAGTCAAAAGCTGGACGAAGTGGCGTAATGAAGGTGAACAGGTCTTTAGCAAAGGCAAAAATGCTCCTTTTAACCAAGTTGCTACCTCCTTTACCTCAACTGCGACCTTTTGGGCCGCCATTAATCGGATAACAGAAAATAACACTATTTTACCCGCAACGATTACTAATGAGACTACGTCTATCTCAACTGACCAAGAAAAAGCGGACTCTTTAGTCAATTTTTTTCTAGCTACGTTACGTCAACATCAGGTCCCTTGCCAACACCCTAATCCAACTTTCACCCCACAACTACTCTTAATTTCACATGCCCTCTAAAGAGGCAATACTGTTAGCTATTAACAACCTGGTAACACCATCGCTTGTGGCCCGGACGACATACCGGTGGTTGTGCTAAAAAAGAACGTTGCAATTTTTGCACATCAGTTGCATCATATTTTTAAGTTATCAGTTGAAACTGGAGATTTTCTGTCAAAGTGGAAGTTAGCTTTCGTTAACCCCATTCACAAAAACAGCTCAAAATGTGTTGTGTCTAACTATAGAGCAATTTCTCTCTTGTCCATAGTGAGTAAACTATTGGAAAGATTTATTTACGATTAACTGTTTACTCATTTGAGCGTAAATAAATTATTTACCAATAACCAGTTCGGCTTTTTGCCAAAAACATAGAAAATCGACGCTTTATTATATTTGTTACATAACCTGACAAATAATCTTAATAAACAACCGCCGGTAGACACCGTCTTAGTCACATTCGATATGGAGAAAGCCTTTGACAAAGTTCCCTATCAAACAATCATTTCTCATTTGTCAGCATTAGGCCTGTCTCAAACAGCTCTACAATGGCTTACGAAATACCTTTCCAACCGTTTCCAGCAAGTAAGAGTTGGCTCTGAATTGTTTACAGTCAACCTCCGTAATATCGGGAGTAGTACAGGCTCCATCATTGGTGCTCTGCTATTCCTAATATTTATTAATGAACTTTCTACCGGTGTAGACCTACCGGCTGATACTATCCACTTTGCCGATGATTGTGCCCTCATCTGCCCTATAACTGTGACAAGCCCTGTCTCAATTTTGTCAGAGTAACATAAACAAAATCAGTGACTGGGGCAGCTCAAATCTTATGATTCTAAACTCGTCAAAATGAGCGTGGATGTTCGTTTCCAATAGCCCTGATAGAGCAAATAATTTCAAATTTACCTTACCAGATGGCTCTAACTTAAAGCCCGAGAAAAGCCTTATTTTCCTAGGGCTCGAGTTAAGTTGTAAACTCACATGGGGAGTTCATATAGAAAATCTTGCGCAAACCTGTCGGCAACATCTTGGAGCTATGTATTGACAGTTTAAACAAGCACCCACTCATATCCGTCTTCAAATCTATAAGAATTGTATCCTCGATAAGCTAGATTATGCCTGTGGCTTATATGACACCACTTTCACCATTCAAGTGTCTCGTCTTGAGTTCGTCCAACATCTAGCAGACCATATGGTTATTCGAAACTTTTCTACTCTCAGTAGGAATTTAGTTAGAAGATTGAATCTGCTTCTACTTTCTTACACATATTTTAAAAATTTTTAACGGCCTCCCTCCTTTATCTAAACTAATCATTATTCAATACAACCAATCTAGAAGATCAAGCCGTTTTAATCATTCGAGAATAGTAGAAACTTCCTTTGCTAGAACAGAAATCGTTCTATAATCATTTATCTGCCAAACCGCTCGAGACAGGACTTTAACTTTTCTCAAAGCTGTTGTTACATCACCCACAATAGAGTCGTTTAAAACAAAGCTCAAGAACTATCTTGAGCTTTAATCGTTTTACAATACATGGCAAAGTTTATCAGTTCTCAGAACTTTTTTTGCCTTCCCAGTAGCGTGCTTTTGTTTATGTTTATGTAAAGAGTGTATATTTGTGTTCTTTTTTTTTCACTATGTATCATCTACTTGTGGTATCAATCAATCAATCAATTTAACATAAAATGTTTTAGACAACTTTAAGCGTTTAGTTAGCCTGAACACAATTGTCTATATAGTGAACCGCTGTTCAAAATGTGTAAAATTTTTGTCATTTTATCGATTGTTTAATTTCTTCATAAGATGTGTATTTACATAAGCAGGATCAGTAATCAGCTTAGGACAGAAAGAAAAAAAAGAAGAAGCAATAATGGATGACAGAATCATATAATAAGTAGAATTAAAAATGAGTAAAAAATAGCACAGAGAATGTTGTTATATAGACTATTATAGTTGTGTCTTTTTTCTATGTATTCCGATAATTATAATTACATCACACACGAAGGTCAGAAACCGCAGACAGTTATTTTTACGCTTAAAGGAAAAAATCAGTTTATTTTGTATCAAACAATATACAACTTAAAAAATAGTAACAAAAACACTTGAAAATTTATATTTAAACAGATTATTATAATCTGATGTTCAACCGTGACGAAAATTAATTTGAATATCATGTGGGATTAATTAACTACCTAGAGCATGTTGGATTCCCATTAAAATGCATTTTCAATCAATTCATTTAAAAGCCCATATAATTAAGCGAATTAAGAATGATATACTTTTATGTTTTCTTTCTGGTATAACTGACTCAATACAATTACTATCCATTTCCAAAACGAGAGATATGGCCATATTTTTGAATAACTCGACAATGAACAGCGATAGAGATCGGCGGTTTTTGCCATTCGATAACAAAGATCTTTGAACATCTTGCTGTAGAAAAATTGGATGAGGTGGAATGACGAAAACGGTCAGTCTCTACCGCTTTTCGTTGCCGAGTTATTCAAGACATGACCAGGTCTCTCGTAGTTTTAAATGAATAGTGTAGTCACTAGAGTCTAGTTCTAATAAATTACTCATAACTTCTTATAAGCAGTGTGCCATAGTGGTGCAACTATTTTCCAGAAAGTACAAAAAAATTTTAATCGAAAATGAGTAAACAAGTTAAAAATCTGTAAATTTCTCTTTTTCAAAGCGTCACACCAGTTTTGTTTTCAAAGAAAATCTTAGTTTAAGCATACTTTTTTCTAAAAAAAAATTTATTACACTGGTTTTCGTGAGACTGTTACATTAAAAAAAAGTCAATAGGTAAAAGAGAATGAAAATATTTAACAGCTGAACAGACAGCTAATTGCAGTTAAATCTTATTTATTTTGAAAATGATCCACATGTGATTTTTGGGCGCTGGTCACCCTTATCACTCATGAATTTTTTTTACTAAAAGTTTCTAATTTTGAAGTTTCTAATCTTGAGTATAACAGTATCCTAAATGTATCGTTCTCTCCATTGTGTATTTACAAACATATGATTTCAAATTTTGTTCACAATATTAATTATCACGTGATGCAGATTTAGGCCTACTCCTTTCCTCCAGTTATCGTAGTTTGTACTAAAGTGGCAGGTAAAATTTTAAGACCACTATTATTTATGAATTTTCTTGTAAACGAAAGTAGCTAGAAGATATTCAACGACAAATTAGTGTAGAGAGCACTTTGGAGTAACTAGACATATAATAAAAAAATTTTAATCTAAATTTAACCGAATTAAAAAGATGAGCTGTTTATAATTTGAAAAGCCTGAAATTAGTTAAAAATCATTTTCTGATAATTCGGCAAGAGAAAGCAGATTTTTCTCATCAAAATGAAACATTGTGCAGATTTCTGTGATCCTTTTTTGATCGGATTATGAAGTTTTCCCGTAAAGTACCGAACGAACTTTTAACTAATTTTAGGCTTTTCAAATTATAAATAGCTCATCTTTTTAATTCGGTTAAATTTAGATTAAAATTTTTTTATTATATGTCTAGTTACTCCAAAGTGCTCTCTACACAAATCTGTCGTCGAATATCCTCTGGCTACTTTCGTTCACAAGAAAATTCATAAATAAAAGTGATCTTAAACTAAATGTTTTATTACTTCATCAAAAAAAATTGAAAAACTGTTCTCTTGTAAATACTTTTCTTGATTTTGATCAGCAGATTATAATATTATAAAATGTAAATCTTTGGTCGGATTTTTCTTTACCCACGGTTCACTAATTATTTATTTATTTATTATGAGAATCCATAGGAAGAGTAAAATATTTACAAAAACTAAATTATCATCTAATCTTAGAGCAGTTGAAAGAAAGACCATTAGAGATAAAACTAGTGCTTCGAACTATCGATAATGAGAAAGCGTATAGTCACAAACCTAATGACTCTTGAAAAAAGAATGTAGACTCGTTTCTGATATTTTTTAAGAATTGAAACGTTTCTTCTAGTTCTTTGAACCTGATAATTATTTTTAATGCACATAGTATTCAGCTTATGAACATTCAACTAAAAAAAATAAAAAATAAAAAAAAAATGTAAAAGTTCAATATTCTTATGTTTACCGTCTAACCCCATTTGAGAGCCAGCTCTCACACCAGTTGACTGTCCTGTATTTTTACGATTATCAATAAGTTTTTTTAACTAACTATCAATATCAGTATATCATTTTTTCTTTTTCTTATTTAAATTTGATTCTTTGACTTAATGATGTTGATAAAAATGTTTTTTGCATGACAATTTTGAAAGGTAGATATCACATTATCACACTTGATTTTTTTTTTTAACATAACAAAGAGAGCATCTATTTCTAATCATGTTTAATTTTAGCTATATAAATTTGATTATTGAAAGAAAGACAATTTATAGGAATATTAAAACGCTTTGTAATGTAAAGCAAATACTATTATATTGAACAAATTGCGAACGGATAAATGAAGAAGAAATTTTAACGGACTTCAGTTGAGATGAGCTGAATTGAAAATGAACAACATTTTATATAAGACAAATTGAGAAGATATTTATCGATTAATGTACTATTATTACCAATGATACAATTAGTGACTAAAATTAATGAATGTTTTCCCACAAAAAGTTCTTTTCCAAGAGTAGAAATGTTCAGTTAGCATAGACTAGAAAAATATAAATTAATTGCAAACGTTTGATAAGTAATAACAACAAAAAAATGTAAAAATATTATTTCAAATCAAAATACTTACCGAATATATAATAATGATTAATAAATAATAAAAATATAATAAATACATTTAAATTATTTTTAATAAGAAAAAAATATTTCTTTTTATTGCTTAGCTAAAAACAACAAGTTAATTCTTTTGCTTTTTGGCGATGACAAAAAAAAGAATCGAAATATGTATTATTTGAAAAAAAAAAATTTTCTCAATTTCTTTATAATACAACACAAACGTGTTTCGGCTTTTCGGTTTATTTTTGGCTTCTTTTTTTCACATCACACAACTCACTCAAACAACAAATATAAAAGAAAATCTATTTCTTTTCGATTTTTTTTTCATCTTCTCAACAGTCATAATCAACACGGTAGACAATATGCAATGAATGGTAGTGTTTAAACGATTTCCTTCATTAGAGTTCTTTACTCTTGTTCGAAAAGAAAAAAAGTTGAAACTTCAAATCAGACATCATGTATATAGACATATATTATGACACGTATGATGACAATAACAACGCACACTAGCAATCAGAGATGAAAATATTATCATACCAGACATGTACAATACAATGATGAGCATTATGCAAAAGGAGAGAAAATGCAAGACAAAATTATTTTTATAACAGGTAAGAGAGAGAGAGAGAGAGAGAGATATGTGTTATCATACAATTGTACAAAATAAAAGAACATTTTTTTTTTCTCTTTTAATTTATTTATAATGTTGTAGAAAGAAAGAGACTTTTTGAATAACCGTATGTATATTCAATTCACTATTGTCGTCCGAGTTACGTTATACTCAACAGTAAAATTTTTCATATAGTTTGATTACTATCATCATCAATTGACACACACACATACATATTAACCACAGCATTCTATTTTTAAAAGTTAAAAATCCAGTTTAGTTAATGAATAGAAGATACTAACCTCTAATTTTTACGAAAATTGTCTATGCTGCACTAGAAGTGTCTAAATAAAATGGGAAGCGAGAAAAGATATTTTGTCGTATTTTCGATAAATGTCTTACTATTTTATTAGCTACTGTTATTCGTATCTTATTGTGGTACATGAAGAAAATGATTGTTCGTTCTACTGAACTATAAGCGACAAAAAACAAAAAGGACTACAATGGGATTTGAACGTTAAAAAATTTAAAAAATGTCGACTAACAGTATTTCAAAATTGGAAAATATATTTGCAATATCTGACAAGATTATTTCATCATTTGATAGACAATATCTTGTTATTTAGTTGTATCTGTAAATGTTTATAATGTAATTAACAAAATCACCGTGTATCTAAAAATAGTATCAAACTAAATGAGAAAACTCAATATGTTCAGAATTTTCATCACTTTGTAATGCTTTTTCCATATCTCACAATTTTAATAGATGTTTTACAAGATTGACGAACGTATTACGAACATCGTATGGCTTACACTAATATACCTACGATTTATTATCGAAAAACTTGTTCTTTTAAGTGAACACAAATGATTAAGTACAATAAAGTGCATTGAATAAATATTTTGTTCTACTTAGAGCCATTGACAAGATTAAGTCCAAATATTGTTTCGCAATTGAGGAACATTGTCAAATTATCAACTGTTAGAATTGAAACATAGGTATTTTAAATGATAAAGTAAAAATTTGTTTATTGCTGCTTGTTTTATATTAAACAAAATGTCCGATACTTATGAATAAAAGAAAAGGCGAAAAATATCAGACATTATATGATTTGAGAGTCTTTAAATGATTGCCAGTAGACAAGTTTTATTTCAATCCATCGTAAAAATAATAAATACCGTCATCATCGCTATATCAAAACACGTTTACGAAACTAATTCTAGTTTTCTTTGAAATTTGAGGGGGTTTTTTTTTTGCAGAAAAGTTAGTGCAGTCGTTTGAGTCTATACAATGCTTCGTCGATTGAACTTCAACTTTTTATACGTTCCCTTCAAATTCTAGGTCGACTAACATTTCTAATAATGAAAACAAATTTTTTCATACACGTGAAAAACACAAATTCATAACAATTATTATTTTAAATAGAAAAAGAAAATCATCAAATTAATATTAGCTAAACAGCACGTCTATATATATTAAATTAGAAATGATAAAACACTTATGAATGCAAAAAGAAGACGACCACGACAACAAAGACAAAATCACATACACAAAATTATAATAAAAGCTTTCCATTGTACATTAGTAATGTGTGCCACGCATACAATCCACAAAATATGAATGTATATCAGATAAACAAAAAACATAAATGAGACCATTTTGTATTTGACCTTAATGCTTATTACTTATTGAATATTCTGCCTTTCTAAGATGAACGATGACCATTTGGTGGATGATCATCATAGTATTTGTTGTCTGTTTTCATTTGACGATCAATTATTTGTTGTCCACAATGAGATTTAATTACTTTTATAAGTTCTTGACAATTTAATTTCAGAGCTAAATCAAAAATATTCTCTTTTTTATCATTTGTCCACGTTGTTTCACCTCCATATCTTCAAGAAAAAATAATAATTCAATTAGGAAGTTTAGCAATATTTTAAACAATAGTCTTTCATCATTACCGTAATAAAATTTTTAACGGTTCGACTCCATCGTTTTCCAGATAACAGGCCTCATGTAGAGCCGTATTGCCTTTCCTACAAAGAAGAGCTACTGATGTATATTTTAGTTGAATATTATATTATAATAAACGTTTATTCTCTTTAATCAATCTTCAGAGATAACATTCTTCTAGGCTTTGAAAAGTTATTTGATTTCTTCAAGTACTTACGGTCCACGTGCATCGAGTTTTGCATGCCCCTCTTTAATCAATGGTATCAAACACTCATTATATCGATTTTTAACAGCCAATTGCAACAATGTATAACCATCTTTATCACGCTGATTTGCATCAGCCTTTTCTTTCAACAACTGTTTCAATTCGTCAACCATATCAAGAGATTTATTATGCTTAGTAGTTGACAGTAATTTTAATAAGGAACGATTCACGTTCTAAACAAGAGAAAGCACAAATTTATTAATACTAGAATAACATGGCGGAGCAAAATACTTACATTTCCCGTTCCAACTGCACCAGCCGATTTTGATCTCGATTTTACCCGTCTTTTTACTTTACTTCTTCTGCGTCGCTTTGTTTGTTCATCTTAAAAATAATTAACAAAAATATGAAAAGTCTGCAGCACAAAAATACCAAAATATATACCATCTGAATTAAACGCGCTTGAAAATGTCGAACTTCTTGCACTACTTCGTCCAGTATTAATTGTATGACTCTGATTATGGCTATCATCAAAATAAAATCGGGACTGGGCAAGGTGTTCAGGCTTACGAAAGACGGCTTCTAATGTCACTTGGTATTCATTTTCATGTACATTTGCATCAACCATCTACATCAAATGACTACTAATTATTATCGATTACAACTTCAAAATGACTCCTTTTACCTTTCCTAATCGGGGTTCACCAATCGTCGAACGAAATTCAGGTTTGTTCACCGCATGGGTCTTCAAATGTGCACAAATATGATCCATTTGTTGACGCCAGTATCCTACATGAAGCCAAAACATATGTGAAAAACCAAAAGTCTCAAAACTGCATACCTTTGCCCGGTGAGATTGCTGTCAGTATTGGACGTCTTTCTTTGAATTCTCTATCTGCTTGCAATTGTTTATTTTGATTAATGATTTGATCTAGTTCTCCTGTCGATGGATAATATAAACCAAATGTTTGTGTTGCTGCTTCGGTTTTCGTTATTAAATACGGCTGACGGTAACGACTGAATGTCGCATTAGCATTCAACCAAGTTGGATTCGCTTGTTGAAAAGTAAGAGTCTATAATTGAGAATTAAATTAGTATCAGAAATCGGTAATATTTAATAGAACTTACGCCTGCAATCATTCCAGACGGGAGATTTAAATCATTTCTTAATCTTCCATCGATAACACGTAGCGGAGGTTCCAAAACGCAACCACATGTTGTACAAAATTTTGCGTATGGATCATTTTCAGCACGACATTTTGTACATTGTAATGGAATATCTCCTTTTTCCGGTTTTGCACCGCACCAATCACAAAATCGTGCATCAATATTATTCAATCGAAAACATTTTGAACAGGTCATCATTTGACCAGATACTTTTGGAGCAATTGGTACAGACACAGATGCTTCGACAAGCTAAAATAAATACGATGTGTTTGTACGATAAATTGCAATAGAATATTTTTCTCCTTACTGGTGACGTTGTTGGCATAAGCTTGCCTTCACAGATAATACATGTTCTTAAATTTACTGGATTTGTAGCCTTACAGCTCGGACATAAAATTTTTGCCTGAAATAACAAAAAACTATATAGTTTCAAGATATATCATAATTTTTCGAAAAATGTTTACTTGATTTTTTACGTTCAGCATATGCTGATGTTCAGGTGACAATGGAGTTTCGCAGACGACACAAATCTCGGAATTGAATGGCACTGTTGATTTACAATTCACACATGTTCCCAACTTGAAAAAAAATTATTTATATTACTAGAGATAACAGTAGTGACTATTTTACATACTGAATGTGAATCGGGCTTCGATAAACGTGGCTGTAAAGGGGTGAGAGTATTCCATGGTAAGCCACACTCGGTACAAAAACGTGAATTAAGATCCGTGCTACGTGGTGCAAAGCAATGCGCACATCTAAAAAAACATAACAAACCAATACTAAAAAAATAATTTTATTTAAAATATGTTCACCTTAAAAAGTCTGTTTGTTTTTGCAATCTTCCTGCTTGAGATTGTGCATTGGGATGATTATATCGTACTCTAGGTGGCGTATCTTCCATTGAATTATTAGGATACTAATGAACAAAATTTAAAATTTAAATGAAGATTAAAAAAATATATTCAAGAGCTTACGTCATGCCAAGAATGATCATGCTGTGATGATCTATTCATGTTTGATTCTAAACATTATAAATATGATACTATCTGTAAGTAGTATACAAGTTTGTAAATATTACCGGATAAGCTTTGCTGCATTTGTTGGTTTTCGTCATAAATCCGTTTGATTAATTCCTTAAGGAGATAATATGTTTTATTTAGATTTGATCAAATGTTGATGACATACATCCTCACCTTTCGTTCTTGTTGAATTTCATATAAAAATTTATTTTCATTTTCACTTGTTGGTGAATGATCAGAATCTATTAATGACACGTCGAATGTTTTGGTAACTACAGCTGATTCTCTTTTACCATCACTAAAAAAAATAAAAGAAATTTCTGTGAATTTCATTACATTTTTATCTTAAAAAAATTACTTTGAAACAGCGATAGCTTTTACTATTTGTTTTCCATCTGGTAGACGAAATGGTTTTCGATAATGAATTGTCGAACGCCGTATCGAGATGGTAGAAAATGGGTCAGGTTTATTTGTGTCCAATGTATAATAAATATCAGCATCATTTGTATCACTTCTGATTTCTATCTGAGTATTTGTATCGATCGAAAACTTTCCTTTTCCCCGTTCGACAGGTCTTAACGGAATTATAGACGGCGCTGAGACAGAACCCGCAGTCATCTGAACATATAAATTACTTATGTTAAAATGCAACGACAACAACCTAACTGTTGCTTTGAAAGCACTAGTTTTTTAAAGTAAAGAATTAGGGCAGGAAATGAAGTAGAAAACTATACTGTTGGAATTTAAAGGATTTATAGTAATCAGCTCATTATTTCTCAATCTATCTAGCTGACCTGTTGATTCTTGTCAAAACAAACGCCTCTTTTTCTGTCGCCATTCTGAATTTACTACTTTTCTGATTGCTACGAGTCGACCTCAGGATAATAAGGAAACGTGTTTAATCAAGTTTACACTACTTATGCACTGTCGTATTATCGGTCGATTGCTAGACCATACGTATTACAGCATCCTTTTTATTTATTTAAAAATAATAGTTAACGTTGTAAGAAGTTACCTGCCAATAGCAGCTGTCAATAGCAGGTAACTTCAGCAGTTGTTGAAAGCTAGTTCCCAGAAGAAATGTGTAGAGGCCAAATATGGCTGACCACATAATGAAAATTTCTCAACTTTAGTTGCTTGTTTCTAGTAATAAAAACCACCTCGTAACTCAAGTGTCAACGAAGCCTCATAATAAAAACAGATTTTGTCAGAAAATAAGAAAAAAGTTGAAAACGGATTAGGCTAGGCATATATAGGCGGCATCTCGTCGAAGAAAGTGATTGATCAATTTATTCAATACGAATTACTTTTTTTGCTTGCCTTTGAAAATCAGCGGCCATTTTTGGTAGATATAACTTCTTTTAACAAATAATCAGTTGTTGAACTTAATGTAGCGATAAAGTGTACAATGAAAATTGGCTATAATCCTAGAAATAAAAAGTGTAGGATTTTTATCTAAGATTTAGATAATACTCTGCTAGTATCTAGCTGCAACTGAGTAAGAGATGATCCGTAAGTTCAATTCCTAACTGCTGTTTCCTTTTTGCAATATTAAACAATTAAAGTTGAGCTGAAGTTTTATCCTTTATTTCGTCTTTCTATGGCAAAGAGTGCCTTTTATAAATAAGCAGGGGCACAAAATACGTTTCAATGGCGATTATTTCACGATTCGACACATTTATGGCAGAGTATCTTCGGATTTACTTTCGATTTTTTTCCTTCTATTGCATACAGATCTTGCACAATTTAGACCATTTTTCTAAACCTGTTTAGAAAACATTGATAGCAGTGAAAAACAAGATATTTGTAAGGATATGACTTGGACGGAGTAAAAACGATATAGTTTGAACTTTTATAACTTTTTCTTTGAGTTAGCAGATCAGAATTGCATATTTCTAGCCGTAATATAAAAACTCTCTAAACTATTACCACTTTCTTGCAGTTTATTCTGAGCATAGCAGCATTTTTGCTCACAATCATTGACACCTGATTAGCAGCTATGTTTTATTTCGGGATAGTCGATTTAACGAAGAAGTGTTAAAGTTTACTACTCCTAATGACGTTATCAGTGGATGCATTGCTATAACAGCTTGAATTCATAACTTCAAATTTTAAATTTTAGATTATATTCTTTATGTGAACAATATGGTATTTATTCGTGATCTTAAACGTGAATTTTTTGATTATATCATCAAACAACAGCGTCGTATAGTAATATTCGTTCATTTAGATGTTGATAGTCTATGTGCCTGGAAAATATTTCAGCATTTATTGCAATGTGAACATTTAACATACACATGTATCCCTGTACTATATAAATATGATTTAGAAAATGGTTATATGCAACATACATCATCAACAAATAAAGATGTTAAATGTATTGTTTTAATTAATTGCGGCGCCACACTAGATTTGTACGATTTTTTATCATTGACAAATGATGCTGTTTTGTTCGTATTGGATAGTTTAAGGAATTTTGATCATCGAAACGTTTATGATGCAAAACAAATACGTTTAATTGTATTACCAACAAAAATTGAAAATGAAAAAAAACGTGTTCCAGATTATGAAAGTTTATTTCATGAAAAATATGACGATGAAGAAGAAAATCAAGAGAACAATTCCGACGCAGAGAACGATGATGATAACAGGGAATCATTTTTGGATGACGTTGATCAATTTTCGGAAGTAAATCAAAAACGATTAAAACGTCAATGGTTAAAAAAACGAGACGAACTACTATTTGATTATTATCGTTATCATTCACACTCATATTCGTCAGCATTAATTATGTTTGATCTGGCATGGGTTTTATCCAAAGATACAAATGATTTACTTTGGTAGGTAATATTGTTTATTGTAGCCCATTTTCACAAATGTTAAGTTTTTATACGAATGAGTTTTCAACCTAGAGTAACTTTCTAATTCAATTTTACAAAAAAGATCAACATTAAAACTAACTTTGATTAGTCAAGTGAAAATCTTTTCCTTCATGTTTTAGGTATGCCATTATTGGTGTTACCGAACAATTGTTACATAGTAGAATTGATCGTGATTTTTATATGGAACAGATAAATCTATTACATACTCATGTATTACGTTTAAATCATCAATTATATCATAATAGCACTAGTAACAGCAGTAGTAACGATGATCCAACAAATACAATGAAATTATCGATGGATTGTTTTAATATAAAATTTGATGAAGATGTTAATTTTCATTTACTTCGTCATTGGACATTATATGAGAGTATAAAACATTCACAGGATATGTTATTACTATTTAAATTATGGTCATCAAAAGGTCAACAACGATTGAAAGAATTTCTAGCCGATTTAGGTATTCCAAAACGTGAATATGAACAATATTATCGTGATATGGATGTCAGTTATAAAACCGATTTAAAAAAACAAATATTAGAAAAACGTATTCAAGAAAAATATAAATATACAACGTCAACAATCATGTTACCAACGTTTATTGCATCGAGTGGTTTCTCGATGAAATTGTGTCCACAAGATATTGTATATTCAACAATGGCTACGTTACAAACAGCAAATACTACCTCATCTAGTTCATCAACAATGGTGGATCTAACTGAACGATTTTCATTGGCATTGCATTCTTTGAATCATCAAAATACGACAATATATTTAAACGGAATTGAATTAGAAAAATCATATTTAACTAAAACACAATATTTGATGGATACACTATTACAATCGGATAAATATTTGTTATACGATAATACGGTACCATTCATTCAATTAAAATTTGATCAAAATATGTTTAATTCATCAGCCAATACTTCTACTGACTCGGCATCATCGTCATGTTATTTTTTTACTCATCCATACCAAACATATGTATTTGCACGAAAAGTCTTGCAGACATTTGTCTGTTATAAATCAATTAATTCTAAAACATCAACAACATTACGTTTACCATTGGTATTAGTTGCTCCTTTTTCACTGACCACCGTTGGTAATCGGACGACCGGTGATAATCAAGAATTAATTTATATTATTGTTGGCATACCACAAATGAGTACTCACCATAGTGTACCCGGAAATTATTTTGCTACTGCGTTTGAAAATGCTGATCAACGCTGTGGGAATGTAGGACGTTTTGTTTTTTTTGATCATTCAGTATTCTTATTACAAGAACAACATTATCAAAAATTTATCGATGCACTCACTCTCGTATTGGCAAAATAAAGTGATTAATAAAACATTGTGGCAAGTAGACGGCAGGCCGTTTAACTTACATTTATTGTACACCGTGCACATTTATATCTCAAAGAAAATTTTTTGTGTAATTTACAAACTTATTGTGGATTTAAATATTGTGTAAAAGACAGATTCTGTCACGTTTTTCTACATAGATTGATTATTTTCAGTTATATTTTGTCAGATAATCTTTCGAGATCTAAAGCATTTTTTTTTTCGAACGTGGAAAAATTGACGTTCGTCTAAAGTGAATACAACTGATCAGTTATTTTTATTAGAATGATCTATAGTTTTTTTCAATAACTACCTGTTGATCAGATTAATTAAATGTAATATTTTTCGTGCAGATACTATGAAGTAAACAGATTTAATTTTTTCTTCAACTTTTTATATTTATGTAGACCTGAAAAACGTCTAAGATTTGTTACTGTTGATCAAATTTGTCATATTTCTTCACATGAATTTATTTTAGATCGAAATCATGAGTGACAATGCATTATTTGATGTTTTCGAACAAGAACCCAGTGAAATTATTATTGATGAAAATGAATCTACAGCCGTCGCTTCAACTAGAAGTATTACCATCGTAAAAGAAAAAACGATCACAACATGTGTCACTACAGTCGTTGATCCGACAACAGATGAGCAAAAGTAAATTATTTATCTTCGAAAAATACTGTGAACAATTTTTATCCTTCATTTTTTAGAGAATCACAAAAATTCTTGGACGATCTGAACGATGAAGGATTATTAGGAAATTCACCTGAAAAACGTCCGAACGAGGATGACGATGATTATGGAGAAAATACAAAGCGAATTAGAGCCGAGTTACTTGCTGAAACAGGAAGGTAAGAACTTAGTTTTTTATGTCTAATCTACAGCTAACGAGGGAATCTTTCTGAATGATCAAAAACTTTTTTGATTTAAATTAGTTTTTCTAGAGTAGTTCTTAATGTTGATCACGAACCTGATATTCATTTGAGACTATGGGACTTTTTACTACGTTCCTCTAGAGACTCATTTGATCGTTTCAGTTTGAAAGGCTTTGAAACCGCCAGTTTTTAGAGCAACTTGAGTTGCATATACGAAAGAAACTTTAGACCTGTCGAATGAATTTATGCTGAGTTAGAGAACCATTATTCGTGCATCTTCGTGTTTTCCTTCATTTTTTGAAGCTTTTTTACTTCAGCATAAACTCATTTGGTAGATCTAAAATTTCTCTCAATGTATAACTGAAGTTGCTTTACGAACTGGCGGTATAAGAACCTATTAAAGGTATTCCTCCACCTCTTCGTAAAATCACTACCAAAAATGAGCCAGAAGTACCAAAAGAGTTCGTATTTTCGGATCGTAATGAATGCCAGTGAAAAACTGAGTTTTCTCAAAACCTCGGGAAGGATGATAGATAAAGAGTTGGTACAAAAAAAGGAAAAGTACCCACAAGACTTTTTCATCTATCTTGAAAATACGAACTCTTTATCAAGTTTTGGTTTACTTAGGCAGAGATTTTACGAAGAGTCGAAAACGGGTGGAGAGATACCTTTAAATTGAAATGATCCGGTGAGCCTCTCACAGGTAATAAAAATTCCCATGGTCCCAAATGAATATCAGGTTTGTGTTCAGCATCAATAATTACGCTAAGAATTAACAAAGCTTATGGTCTTAACCTCCCTTAATACGAATATTGTTCCTTTTTTTTTCAGTTTCTTTGAAAACATACCTCGTATGAAAATTCATACAGTTGAAACAATCGAATCCTGTTTGCACGAAGTAAGGAGTGAACTAGTTTGTCTTCAAGTCTGGTATTTTTATATGAGTCTTTTTCTTACGCTAGGTAGTTCTACCACCCAATTCAGAATATGCTCCATTGAAAGCTCTTGTTGGACAACCAGCTAAAGAATATAAATTTCCTCTTGATCCATTTCAACGCGAAGCATTAAGATGTTTACAAAATAATCAATCTGTGCTTGTATCAGCTCACACATCGGCGGGAAAAACCGTGGTAGCAGAGTATGTATTTTAGATTGAAAAGTGTGTGAAGTTATCTACTATTTTCTTTTATTTTTTAGATATGCTGTTGCTATGGCGTTGAGAGATCGTCAACGTGTTATTTATACAACACCAATAAAAGCATTGAGTAATCAAAAATTCCGTGAATTACATGAAGAGTTTAAAGATGTTGGTTTAATGACCGGTGATGTGACAATAAATCCATCAGCATCCTGTCTGATTATGACTACTGAAGTTTGTATTTTATAGCAAATAAGTATTCATCAATTTGTCTAATGTTACACATTTATCTTTTACAGATTTTAAGAAGTATGTTATATCGAGGATCAGAAATAACACGAGAAGTAGCATGGGTAATTTTTGATGAAATCCATTATTTGAGAGATAAAGGTAACGACGATACCTGTTGAACGTACCTCTAGTTTATATTTGTCATTTTTGTTTTCAGAACGTGGTGTTATATGGGAAGAAACAATCATATTATTACCAGATAATGTTCATTATGTATTTTTATCAGCAACCGTACCAAATGCTAGACAATTTGCTGAATGGATATCATTTCTTCATAATCAAGTATAAAATTTATTTCAATTCTTATATAGAATATTGTCAAAGTTCTGTTGTTACTTTTAGCCTTGTCACGTTGTTTATACTGATATGCGTCCAGTACCATTACATCATTATATTTATCCGGCCGGTGCTGAAGGATTACACTTAGTCGTTGATGAAACAGTACTCATACAAAAAGCTTATGAACAATATGATGAAATGACTAAAATTTGCTTTTATTTTGTAGGGCAAATTTCGTGAAGACAATTTTAGTTCGGCAATGGCTACATTACGTGATGTTGGAGATGCAGCCAAAGGCGATAAACGTGGAAAACGTGGTGGTTTCAAAAGTACTATATAATTGTTAAAAATAAAAATAAGTGATTAACACAAATGTAAAATTGTTTTTTAGGTGATACAAATTGTTTTAAAATTGTTAAAATGATTATGGAACGAAATTTAGCGCCCGTTATTGTATTTAGTTTTAGTAAAAAAGATTGTGAACAATTTGCTCTTGCCACAGCAAAATTAGATTTTAATTCAGGTAAACATCTAACTATTTCTTTTGTTATTTTTCACATTGCTAATTTTCCTCCTTGTTCAATTGTTTAGAAGATGAAAAACGTTTAGTGGAAGAAGTATTTAACAATGCTATTGATCTTCTCTCGGATGAAGATAAAAAACTTCCACAAGTAAGTTGTGAAAATTAATGTAATTTCATAAGAATAAGTGTACCAATTATTTTTTAGATTTTAAGTGTTTTACCGTTACTTAGAAAAGGCATTGGCATTCATCATTCCGGTCTTTTACCAATTATTAAAGAAACAATTGAAATTTTATTTGGTGAAGGTTTAATTAAGGTTTGTTTATTAGATTTAATCAATCATATTGGTATGAATTGTGTCATTTTTTTTTTCAGGCATTATTTGCTACAGAAACATTTGCTATGGGTCTTAATATGCCTGCGCGAACAGTTCTGTTTACAGCTGCTAGAAAATTTGATGGCAAAGAACTTCGATGGATAACATCGGGTGAATATATTCAAATGAGTGGTCGAGCTGGTCGTCGTGGAAAAGATGAACGTGGTATTGTCATACTGATAATTGATGAAAGAATGAGTCCAACAACAGCAAAAGAAATTGTTAAGGTATAACTCGTTTAGAATTAGAATGATTTTATTTTTATGTTTAATGTGTTGAATTGTTTTATTTTGAAGGGGAAAGCAGATGCCTTGAATAGTGCATTTAAATTAACATATAATATGGTGTTGAATTTATTACGTGTGGAAGGCATCAATCCAGAATTTATGCTTGAAAGATCATTTTATCAATTTCAACATTTTTCATCTATCCCAGGTTTATATGAAAGTATGTCATTCCACTATGTTATCTTTTTTTGTGTGTAAAAATGTTTTCTATAAACGATTCATCGTCGTTTTTCATCATTCTAATCAATTTTTTATCTGTTTAGAATTAAAAAGTTGTGAAAAACAATATGATGCATTAGCTATTGATCGTGAAGAGGAAGTAGCACGTTATTATAAATTAAAAAAGAAATTAGAATCAGTTCAAGATCAAATGTCGGTAATGATTAGTGAACCGAAATATTTGTTGCCATTTTTACAGCCTGGTCGATTAGTTACAGTAAGTTGTCTTTCACTAATAAAATGAATGTTTTTTCCTAAGAATTTTTCTATAGGTCAAATGCGGTAATTTAAATTTTGACTGGTGTGTCGTATTAAATTTTCACAAGAAACCAGGCGAAAAGGTTTGTTAGATTAAACTGTGTTAAACGTTATTATAGATAAAAAAAAAATTCCATTTTTAGCCGACCTATGTTATTGATGTGTTAGCACATTTAACATGTGAAAGTGCTGCTCAAAAATTAACCGCTGACCTTCAACCTTGTCCATTGAATGAAAAAGGAGAAATGAAGGTATACATTGGTCGTATAAAACACTCAGACGTTATTGTGATAGAATTTTGTTATTTGTAGGCTATTCCAATACAACATATACTTATACGAGATGTCAGCACAATGAGAGTTTATCTACCAGACGATTTGAGATCGAAAGAAGCTAGACAAAGCGTATTAAAATCATTACAGGTAAATATCTGGATGAAGATAAAAAATTGTAGTAATAATGAATTTTGTTTATTGAATTACTTTTTTTACATTTATTTAGGAAATTAAACGTCGAAATCCGTACGGTTTACCATTGCTTGATCCGGTGAAAGATATGGGAATCAAATCGGCGGATATGCAATCGTGCGTTAAACAGATGACATCTTTACAAACAAGACTAAATGATCATCCATTAAATAAAGATATTAATTTGAAACAATTATATGATTTATATGAGAAAAAAGCAAATTTAGAAAAACAAGTTTTGGAAGCAAAAGCTGAGTTGAAAAAAGCTCGTTCATTACTGCAAATTGGCGATTTGAAACGATTTAAACGTGTATTAAGACGTCTTGGTTATTGTAGTTCATCAGATGTCATTGATATGAAAGGACGAGTGGCATGTGAAATTGATACCGGTGATGAATTAGTGTTAACTGAATTATTATTCAATGGTGTATTTAATGATTTGAATGTTAGTCAAGCTTGTGCACTATTAAGTTGTTTTGTATTTCAAGAAAAAGCAAATGAAATGCCAAAATTACCACAAGAATTATCTGGACCATTGAGACTTATGCAGGTAATGATGAGTCAATCTATCTTTGCATTATTTAACATTTTAAGTCTTCTATTGTTGATGTTAACACTTTTTATTTATTGTTTATGTAGGAAACAGCTCGACGTGTTGCTCGCGTATCGATTGAATCAAAAATCGATATGGATGAAGAACGATATGTTGATAGTTTTAAACCTTATATGATGGATGTTATTAAAGCATGGGTTGACGGACAAAATTTTTCCAGTATATGCAAAATGACAACAATATTCGAAGGTAATATTGAAAAATAATAAAATTTGTATTATAAATATCTCTTTTTCTCTGTTAATCAGGTTCCATCATACGTTGTATAAGACGATTGGAAGAATTACTTCGTCAAATGTGTTGTGCAGCAAAAGCAATTGGAAACAGTGAATTGGAAGCAAAATTTACTGAAGGTAGATTATTGTTAGAAGAAAAAAAGTAGAAATTAATTCTTTAATGAAACTATTATTTATTTTAGGAACGCAAAAAATTAAACGAGACATTGTATTTGCGGCTAGTTTATATCTGTAATTTAATCGACGTCCTTTTGTTCTGTTTTTGCTACAACAGCTCCCATGGAGTTACTATCTTTCTATCAATACGCAAAGGTTCTCTTTGCTTATTGGGTACATGTCTCGTAAACGTGCTCAGTGTTTTTGTTATTTTTTTGATAAATGTATCAGTTATTGTCTGTTTTTTTGTAAAAAAAATAAAAATTGTTTAATATGCCATAATAGGCAATAAAACTGCATAAAAACTTTACATCGATAGAAAACTGATTATCTGACAATATTTTATAGTGTTGGTATGAATTGATTTGAACACTAATTTTTGAATGATTTGATCGGAAGGTTATTGAAACATAAGGCTAAAGATTTTAAGTAGATACATCAAAAGTCCGACAACTAGTTTAGAGAATTGAAAAGAACTGCAAACATAAAAATAGTTAGCATTGCTCTTGTAATATTTTAATATGACCGAAATTCTCTATGTGATTCAAAGTAAGAAAACAAATTAAAACAAAAGATTCTCTTCCATATCACATTTGATTCATGCAATGATTTTATTTTTCTAATTTATTTTATTCTTTCATTTTCTCCAGTGTCCATTTTTTTGTCATTTGTACTAGAGACCGAAACGGATCAATCAAACGTGACCCGAACGGACCTGAAAATTTTGCAACTGTGATTCGAACTAGACCCAAAACGTGAAAATGTTTTCGTATTGGCAAAGAAACACTTCTTTCCTATAGAAAAAGTATCTGAGTCAGACTGTTTTGAAATTTTTTCAAAAAAATGGTCAGGTTCCTTACGGTTTCCGTCATTTTTTCCTTTTATGAGTGGAAAAGTTTGGGTAATTCAGGCAGTTTATTTTATATTGACCTGAGTTAGATCGAAACGGGTCAACCAAACGTGATTCGAACCCGATCCGATCCGCGAGTCAACTCGACCCGTTTCGGTCTCTGATTTGTACATTTTGAATTAATATTTAGTCCTCTTTTACAGGTTATTGGCATAACCTTTTAACTTACATAGAAGCAACTTTATCTATTTGCCAATATAGTCAAACTTTTTTTTTAATGATAAAATTTAGCTTTTAAGACTCAATACAATTTTGTCATCAGCTTTATTGTTTTTAGCTTGCTAGCAGATCGACAGCAGATAATTTTATTTTTTTTTTGTATGTCGTGTTTTTTCACTATCACATTAATATACAAAAGCATGCTTGCTTTCTTTTCTTGTTCAACTATTCATGTCTGAAATAATAAAGATTAATTGTTTAAATGTTGGCTTAAAAATAAGAATGCTAATATAGCAATCTATCAATTAGATTATTTCAAAATAATAAAGTACTACGAAAATATAATTTGAATTTGACGTACTCAAAAGTAAGACGACGAAAAAATAACTCATTTCTCAAATGAAGTGTCTTTCGAAAATCGTTATTTTTTCTATTCCTCAAGGATGACTGGAGGTCGACTATTGATTTTTTTTTAGTTATTCTTTTCATTGAAATGCTATCAGTATGTAGTGTGTTCCTGATTTTTCAATTTAAGACGCTTGTATGGACTTTATGATTAAAACAATAATAATATCTCATCCATCTTGTTCGTTTCTTTTTCTCTTTGTCTTCTAAAAATTGTTCTTCCATAATAAACACAAATTTATTTTTTTTTCTTTTATTATGTATGACATTGCTGCGAAACCAAAAAAAAAAAATCAAAACTTTGTACAAAACACGATAACAGTAAATTTCTTTTCTTCTCTTCCGGTTCTTTTCTTCTTATTTATCATCATACGGCAGAAGTTATTACTACAGAGTGTCGCTATTTTAGATGTGCGAGACTAATAATTTTTTTAGTCCCACTTCTAAGCTTTGAAGACTAAAAGTTTAGAATTATTTGTGGTTTTGTATACAAATTTACCCTTTTTTCCGAAAAATTTTTCTTTAAAAGTGTTATGTTTTTCTGCTCCTTGAAACGGAACCACGGGACAGGAGCTAACAATTTTTTTTACGGGACCGGGACCAAAAAAGCTTGGTCTTGCACATCATTTGCAGTCGCTATAGAGAAAAAACGATGAAATAGAAAGAAAAAATGAAGAAAAAAAAAGATTAAATACTTTTTTTCTTGTTATAAATATAGAGTATTACCAACACACAACAAAAAGGCGAAAAAAACATAGACTGATCTACACATATCTATAACTACTTATATACTTGTCATTAAATGTTTTTCTCTTCGAACTTTTTTTCTATTTTTTTGCCGTACGCTTTTCTATAGTGAGTGAACAATCTTTTATAGACGCATCAACGACTCTACGGTAAGTAATAAAAAAGAAAAATTGTAAATGACAGAGTAAATATTAATAATAATATAAAAACAACTTAATTACTGTGCTTAATCTTAAACAATTAATCGTTTTTTCTAAGGAAACAGTGTAAATATAATTATTAATAGTCATCTTGTATGTGAAACCTGTGAAAGATATTTGACTAAAATAATTAAGATCAACCTTTTTTACGATTAGTTTTTTTGAGTATATTTATTCTATTTATTTATTTTTATCCCATTATTTATAAACTAAATACAATCAAAAATCGTGTCCTGAAATTAATAATTTCAAAAGCCATGATATCTCTGTTTATAAACACAAGAAATAGCAACTATCGAAGAGATGAATAGTAGCAATGAAAGATGATCTATCCTTCTTTATATCATTTAAACAATTATGATGATCTTTAAACATCCTGCTCTCTACCTTGTATGCTTAATGTAAAAAACGACTTTTTTTATATGTGAAAATTGAGGTAGTCATCCAATGATATTAGGAGAAGAGATTGTTCGATGAGCATATAAAAATGAAGTATATACTTTATAATGTGTCGAATTTGCAGGAAAAACCACTCGGAGGTAAATATGAACGAAGTGTTAAAAATGAAGAAAAATTAATAAAGAAATTTTCTCGTTTATAGCGCAATTATTTAGCAAAGGCTAACTTCAATAATTTTTACAAAAAAAAAAAAAAAAAAATGATAAAGAATACACGTTGAGCATGGTCTCTCCATCCGAAGTTTCTTTTCGAAATATCTCGTAAAGAAACAGAGGGAATGACTATTATTCTGTTCTTTTTCTAACTTATTTTCTTTTATTTACCTTTATCAAATGATTACATTTTAACATTTCTTCTTGTGTTTAGTACGAAAAAAAAGCATAAATTGTTCAACGGACGCGTTCTACTTTTCTTCTCAAGCATTTTTTAAAAAGAATCGGATTTCAACGGCTTTTTTCCATTGTTATAATTGTCTCATAAAAGTCATTGTTATATAGTAACAATTGAAGGAACTTCTTTTCTTGTTCTTCTTCTCTTTTTCTCCACCTCCTCTCATCTCTTCATTATCCATTCAACCATTGTTATGTATGTGCGTTTTGTTTTTCTAGTTTATTTCTAGCACCGAGTTAATGGATGTTTCATTCTTATATAGAACATAAAAATTTGTTATATTATATCATCATTATGTGGAAATGACGCCATTTGTTTGTGACCTATACGATTAATATAGTGTGAATATTAGAAAATTTAATAATAGGACGTTAATTAAAAATATTTTTATTTAATCGAAAGAAATTCTTTTACCATCAGTACTATGGGTAATCAGAGCAGTGGGAAGAAAGGTGATCAAACAGAAAACGGTAAGTTAATTTCTTTATTTTATTAAATAATAAAATCTTCAATATTAAAAAAGAACAAGTTGTCAGAAATATCATCATAATGAATGTAAGCTTTTTGTTCATCATCATCCGGTTGAATCTCATACTAAGCCGTGTGTATATAAAGTTTCTCATAAAAAAATCAACAACAACAGTTTAATATCATACATCTTTCAGTAATAAGAGAAAAGGCGAGATTTTGTTTACTAGTTAGATTAGATTAGATTTCTTTTCTAGATTCTGTCTCAGCTTTTTATTTTTCCTTTCGCAGAAATATCAAGTTGCCGATAAGATTATACATTTGTGAATAATAAAATAAGAAAAATAACATTTCCTTACAAATAGTAATTGATATTTATTCTTTTCGAAAGTAGTCAATGTTCTAATTAGAAATATGTTTCACTCTCTCTCTCTCTCTCTCTCTCTCTCTCTCTCTCTCTCTCTCTCTCTCTCTTTCTTTCTGTCTCTCTATGTTATCAACCATGGCTATTGCTTTCTACGATGTTTACTTGATTAGGTCATGAACCGCACACGTTTGTTCGAAATAGAGACAGATCTTTATACCAAACAAATTTTATTGGTTTTTGTTAACATGAGAAGAGATCGATAATTTAATATTGAAAATTATGTTTGTTCTTTATAACTGAATGAACAAACGTCTCCTTTTTTTTCTTTCCATCAGACTATTAATGAACATTACCCAATTGAAATAAATAAAACGCCTTGTCCTTTTCCTTTTTTAAGGACAAGTAGACAAACATATAACGAGAAAAGAGACTGTAAGTCCTGTGAGAGCAAAACAATTATTTAATAAAAACAATTTTGCAATATCATTATATAAGCATATAAAGTGTATTCAGAGAAAATATTTAGTATACTCTGTTGGTATTAAGAATATTCCTCCCTCTTTTTTGACTTTTCGTAGAAATGCTGTGAAATAAAAACTAAAACTCATTAAGGCTTCATATTTTCAAAACTGATTGAAACTGAATGGAGCATTTTTTCGTTTTTATTTCAAGTTTTTAACTATTATCGTTCAAGTTTTTAACTATTATCGTTCACGAGTTTTTCGGAAAACTCGGTTTTTGATTATGTTACATTACGATCCTCTTAAATTTCATCTGATTGAGTTAAAAATTTTACCCGAGGTACTCAAGGTAATATCACAGAGGTATGTTTCGGGCATTATTTTTAAGATCTTTTCTTGACGAGTTATAGGAAAAATACTGAAAAACGTCTCAAAAATCACGTTTTCAATTTTAGAAATCCTATAACTTGGTAAAGAAAGGTCTAAAATAAGATTCAAAACAACTACCTCTGC